CCGCCGCTTGTTGGCGAAGTTAGTGCCAACTTTTGCGGATAGAGGGTGTCATGTGGTCAGTGCAACGGATCCCNATGTAACGGTGAGAGGAAAGCTATAAAATTAGGCGATTTCTGGTTACCATAGCAACGAACTCTCCCGCCTTAACACTTTGTATAAGTTACGCTGGCCACGAGCAGCTGAACAGAATTTTGTTTCAATGTATCATATTTATTCTGTGCTTAATGACAATATTTTGATGTGCCTGTGACAACTGTAGTATATAGTATAAATAAGACTACTCGTGCTTGTTATTCGTGGTAGATGGCGTTCAACGTCTGCCTCAACGTATCATTTATTAACACGTAGGAATGGAAAGGAATACGGGAGAAACCAGGGGAAGTTCATACTACGAAAGCTTGTGAAACGAACAATGAATCTTCCCCTTGAATTCTCAATGGCTGCTACTCTAGTTTTAATGAAACAACGCTCTTAAGGGGATAAAACAAACAAAAACAAACTCTGTGGCTTTTAGTCCGCAAGCAAACTATACCGACCGAGCGTCCGCCGCTTGTCGGCGAAGTTAGTGCCAAATTTAGAGGATAGAGGATGTCGCATGGTCAGTGCAACCGATCCCAACGGCCATTAATTTCGGGTTTCTAGACCGGAGCCGCTATTCCCTTGAAATAGCTCAATTATCCTCACGAGGGTGAGTGGACCCCGTTCCAGACCCACTACTTCTCAGAAAATCTAGTTGCGCCGGGAATCGAACCCGAGACCTCTGGATCTGTAGCCAGGAACACTGAACACTAGACCACAAAGACGGTTGGGATAAAACAGAGAAATGCATAATTCACTCGTTACATTTGATACCATAAATATGGAGACAGCACCTTTCTCTACAACAGTGGTAACTTTGTAGCACACTGCATGGCATTACATTTCAGGAGGCAACAGTCTTCATATTTATTCCATCTCATTTGACAGTGGCCATGAAATTATGCACAACGGTAACTGTTTACGAAAGTTTCAGAAGCGTTTGCTACCTCCATCTTCACGGTAAAGTCCTAAATTTTCAGCGTAAAACCGTTCCTTAAAACGTGAAAACTTTATGTCGCCCCATATATAAAGGTACAATTGTTTCTGTGCTTAATTAAGCCATATGCCAAAACATAAGGGGTTGCAAAAACAATCTTAACCATGGCATCAGATGCAGATGGTCAGCTTCACGCTCCGACCGCTTTACTCGCGGGGAAACTATGCGCTAAGTGGGCCTCAGATCCAATCTTAACGCTATGGGGAAAGAGACATTACTTGCCCCTACTGACATCGAACCCTGGTTCTTAGACGGTCCACCTATTCTATTCGCTGTACAGACGGCAAATGATAGAGTTGGGCGCACAGCCCAAATGGTACACAAGACAACAGGTGTAACATGACAGACACGGCTAAGTTTAAGAGCGCCTTTCACTGACTCCATACCTCATCTGCATAGAACGTAGCAGTTATAAATATTTATAGTTACGTCCGCAGCTCACATTCGAATTGCCCGTGTTTCCTGGCGAAGCTACTGTCTGTCTAGAACACCTTGGGCAGTACGTCAAACCCTGAATTCTCTATCTTACGTCCTGTATATTGAGCGATATCTCTGGTATGGCGATTTAAGTCACCAACGTATGCTGTAAACAGAATCTAATAACGTCCTAATTATCTCGTTACTCGCTCGTGTTAACGCAACTTCAGAGATGTTTCAGACACAGCATACACATCTGTTTCGATACTGTAAAATTACAGCTTATTACATAGGGCAGGAGAATTTACAACTGGCATCCAATCATATTAAGAAAGGTCTAGTGGTCAGAGTTCCTGGCTACAGATCCAGAGGTCCCGGGTTCGATTCCCGGAGCTATCAGATTTTCTTAGAAGTAGTGGGTCTAGAACGGGTCTACTCAGCCTCCTGAGGATAATTGTGGGGCTATTTCAAGGAAATAGCGGCTCCGGTCTAGAAAACGGAGATTAACGGCCTTGGGGATCCGATGCGCTGACCAAGTGACACCCTCTATCCGCTAAAGATGGCACTAACTCGTCGAAAAGCGGCGGTCGCTCGGTCGGTATAGTTCGCTCGCTGACTACAGGCCACGGAATTTGTTTTTTTTTAAGGAAAAGAAAAGGAATGAAACAAAGTAGAAACACGGAAGGAAATTAATAAATACAAGTACTAAAATGCTACAGGCCAGAAGGTCACGGGTTCAATTTCCGATGAGGTCACTGGGTTTTTCAATTGACCTAATCCTTCCAACCGCACTATGGCCCTGGGGTCGACTCAGCCTCTAACAGAAATGAGTACCATGAATCTTCCTGGAAATAAAGAGCGGCTCACCGCCATCTGTAAGCCGACTGTCTAGAAAATGTGGTAACCTCGGCGTCTCACACCCTGTGGGCCTCCAAGGCCTGCTACATGGAGAGCTCTACCTTACCTTGTACTTAAATAAAGAAAAGACAAACTGAAAGGGAGGGAAGAATGAAGGTAAGAAGGAAAGAAGCGAGGGAAACGTAAAAAAAATGGAGGCAAGAAATATATATAAAAAAGAGAGGAGGAGGAACGAAGGAGACGCGTAAAATTATAAAAAATGGGAAGTAAAATGGAAGGAAAGGAATGAGGAAGAAAAGGGAGAAAGAATGAAAGGGAAGATAAAAAGGGCAAAAGGAGAAGAAAACCAGACACAAGGAAGAAATGTAAGACATATGAGGAAGAAGGAAAGAAAACTGATTGGGAAGAATAAGAAGAGATAAAATGAGATACAATAAAAAAATCGAAAGGAGGAAAGAAAGGAACAAACAACGGAGAACAGAAAGACGAGTACATCTGTCACGTTACGAAAGATTCCATGACTCCATCTCCTGCCCGAAGACCTTCAAATTTTCTGTTGCCGTTTATTTCACGACGCTGCCTGTACCTCGGACTGCATGGCGTCGAACAACAGTATGATTGGTAAACAACTAGAAATGATTTGGAAGGAAGCGGCCATAGCTTGACAGATGACCTATCCCGACAGACGCTTGGAGGGACTGAGGAAAACCAAGAGAAAACAGTACATTGTGACGTCCGGTGTTGTCGGTCCGACTGGCCTATACTGAGATAACGTTCTGTTTTTGCAGTATCCAAAATCTTTCGAGCACATAAGTCGATAACTTTGTCCTTACCTTGCAGTTCTGCTAAATCACTTATTACCTGCTCGCATGATTTGTTCCAGTTTTTATGTGGAAACCCGGAAACATTACAATACACTTCCATAAACACAGTAAGCAATAATTACATAAAACTATTCTAGACCCTGGCAATTCCACTTCACTTCACGTGTGCCCCTATGAACAACAAAAACAGGGCAAGCTGTCTCAATCAACAGCGCTCCTCGGCTCTATCCCAGATTCATGTGGTTTGAATGCCGTCATGAGGATTTCACTGGGTTTCTCCGATCTCTCCTGGCGATGTGATTCAGAATGTTACAGTTGTGTAAGAGGATTTTGGATTTACACGCATGAAACGTCTGCCAACTAGCTACAGGCCGGATGTCCAAGAGGTCGGAGTTCCAGTAGGGTCAAGAATTTTTTCTTCTCCTTGTCCAGACTGGCTCTGGGAGTCCACCCAGCCTCCTATCCAATGGGTACTGAGGGCTCTTTCCCTGGGGGTAAAGCGGCTGGGGCGTGCAGCTGACTACTCACCTCCATCTAGTGCTGAGGTCAAGAAAATGTGGATCTATACAACCATTCTCCCATATGCTTTCAGGGTGTAGTACTTAATTAGTTAAGCACAGGGACAACTTTACTTCTTACCTACCTGCATTTACCTGAAGGGACTAGGAAAAACCGCAAAAACTCTGTCATGATAGCTGTGTTCTGACATTTGAACTAGATACTTCTTGATATCATGTCAGAAACTTTACGGGTTGGGCAAGCCTGCTTGGAAGGAGGAAGAATTGTGGGAGAGCGGAAGGAAGGAACAAAGAAGGGAAGAAATAACAAAAGAAAGAAAAGTAGAAATCAAGCATATGGGCTGTGAAGGAATGTTACATTCAAAGAAAACTACACATTTCTTAGTGCACTAGTTTCACAATCAACCGGTCAAGAAAAGAAAGTCAACATATAAACTGGCTGCCAGAACACACATAACCAAGATACAATCCACAAAATGCACATTTCTGCAATAGAGAGAACACAAGAAAGAAGAACACTACACAAAATACATACATCATTTTACATAACATTAAACTGTTCTAAATTTTTGTATATATTAAATGATTTTAACAGGAACAAATTTTGTTTAAATAATAAACTTTATGAATGTATAGCCCTGATGGGCTACGTAATACAATACAGTACAATTTACATAAATCATGGAGTACACAGTGATTCAGCCAATAATCTCAGGAGGTTCATTTGACTGTATTTGTGCATGCATGCACACGTGTGTGTGCATGTGTGACAATGAGACTGAGGGTGAGTGAGATAGCGAGAGGGTGAGGGGGTGAGCATACGTGTGAGTTTCAAAAACAGAAGAAATACAAAATATACATCTGACTTGTATCCTTTGTCTTCTAATCAGGTCAGTTTCAACAATCTTGCTGTATCAGCTTTTCATCAGAATGCCAACGTACACTTTCCAGAACATCTTACACTACATGCCTGCATGCATGTTCACACTTAATCAAACATCCATCATGTAATTAGCACTCGTGAAATATGAGGCTCACACAAGGGTGACTATGAAGACTGCTGCTTCTGATGTGTGAGCAAGTGGTCCGGTAGTTATATACTAACATTCTGGAGTAGTCTGCTGCTTCTACCATGAAGCTACAAGGCAGTACCTTCATCCTGACATATTGGTAAGTATGTAAGAAACTACACACTGCAGCAGACAATTTTCATTATTACATGAAGGAAATCTGCTGCAATATGAAACTGCAAGCTCTTAGCCTGATATCCACTTGTGCAAATTATGTGCCACAATAATGATGGCACTAAAGAGCCGGGTTTACTAAAAGCAGATGCCAAGGGGTGGAAAATAGGTTAATATACTCAATTAACGAATAAAATGCTGTCAAATAAGAGATGATAATCTTGGAGCTATTCTGATTCAATTTTATTGCAACTTAACCACAATTTTAAAGTTGAATATGGTATGATACAAAAGATATGGTGAGTTTCAGGCAATTAAAACATAGCATTTTCATAACATTCATAAATAATATAGAAAAAAACATTTAGAGCATTTACCAAAAGCAACAAAAATGCTAGTAAGGAGGTTGGTCTAGAAGTAAACACAGAGAAAATTAAGTATATGTTGCTGTCTCGTCACCAAAATGCAAGGCAAAATCATGATGTAAAGTTAGGTAACAGATGTTCTGAAAATGGGGTACAGTTCAGGTATTTGGGAACAAGTATAACAAATCAAAACCGGATTCAGGAGGAAATTAAGAGGAAATTGAACTCAGGTAATTCTTGCTAACACTCAGTCCAGAACCTTTTGTCGTCTTCGAAAAATTAGAATATACAAAACTATAATTTTGCCTGTGGTTCTGTATGGGTGTAAAACTTCATCTCTGACATTAAGGAAGGACCATAGACTGAGGGTGTTTGAGAACAGGGTGTTGAGGAGAATATTGGAACAGAAGAGAGATGAAGTTACAGGAGGTTGGAGAAAACTGCATAATGCAAACTTGTGCTCTTCACCAAGTCTAATTAGAATGATCAAGTGAAGGAGAATGATTTGGGAAGGGCATGTAGCATGAATGGGGGACAAGAGGAATGTATATAGGATATTGATGTGAAAGCCAGAAAGAAAGAGGCCAATGGGAAGACCAAGACAGGTGGGTGGACAATATTAAAATTGATCTTAGAGTGACAGGATGGGATGGCAAGGATTGGATTGATCTGGGTCATGATAGGGACCAGTGGAGGGCTCTTGTGAACATGGTAATGAACCTTTGGGTTCCATAAAATGTTGGGAAATTCTTGAGTAGCTGCACAATTGGCAGCTTCTCAAGAAGGGCTCAGCTCCATGAGTGAATGAACAAAAACATACAGAGGAGAAATATTATTTACAAAGTCAAACACTAAGAACTAACAAGAAACATCTAGAAGGGTTTTTAAAACATGCAAACGGAAGTCTGGCTAATTCCAACTAATGTGTTATCAAAACACGTTTCATTTAACTAACACATATGTTTATAGTGTAACCAAATGATTACATTAAGATGTGATTACTTCTAGAATACAAATAAACAAAGTTCATGTTTTGCACATCACCACAGTCTGAGGCTACTGCAAAATGCAACAAAAACATGTTTACAAAATCAACAAACAACAGGGTAAAACAGTAAGCTTGTGAGAAGGATGGCCAGTGATAAAATGAAGGAAGGACAAGGGTATACATTAATTGTTTTCTGTTTCATTTCTTTTAATTTAATTTTAGTTCATTCTCTCACCTCACTCTCCAATTTTCACTATTTATTTAAGTTTCTGTAATATTTTATTACTATTTTATTAATTACTTTTTGTTCATTTAATTTCATATATTTCCTCTTTACTTTCTTCTGCATCTTTACAATTTACTTTCATCTTTCTTCCTACCTACAAATACAATCCTTTTCAGTGTGACATATTTCCATTAAGTTTATACTGCTCCCACTGCCCCTGGCGGGAGCAGTCTGAATTTTTTGTTTCCTTTATTATGGATTTTGTTTACTCTTCCATGTCTTTTTCCCTGCCTTCTACCATTTTCTTTAATTATCTTCCCTTCCCTACATAACTGACTGTTGTTAGCTACACAGTTTTGTATTTTTATCAACAAGATGAGAAAACTTGCAGTTGTCCAAAGCATTCAGACCATTTCTGGGTCCACTGTGCACCCCAAATCTGACTAGGGACCTTCAAAGGGTCAGAGCCAAAAACATTCTAATTGAGGCCTTCATAAGACCCTTTTCTCCGTTATATGCCCAGTTGGGCACTAATGACATATGCAGTAGAATTCCTTTTCCTATTCGTGCTTCCTGCACACGTCACAGTCTGAAAGGCCGACAGTATGTAGGTGCTGTCTCAATGTACAGTGGCCAGACAGCCTACAATGTTTCCTGTCCGCAGCCAGTGGGGTCTTTAAACCATTTATGTGAAGCCCCTTCAATGAAGAGTTTTGACTGCCTCATAACCAGTGTGCAGTGGTTCTCCCTCAGTCACTCTTTAATTTTGAGCCTACCAACACATAGTAAAAGGTACACAGTAAAGTTGTCCTTGGACATGGTTAATTAAGCACCACATCATGACCTTGTAACCTGTCTACAGAAATGAGCCAAGTCCTAAACCTACACACTTCAACCTTGAACAGGGATGTGGCATGCTCCTCGAAAATGTCAGTATCTACCTACAACACTAGATGGTGTCACAACCCAAAAGACCACAATGTTAATGCATTTTCTCCAGTTTCTAAGACGCACTCAGCCTTTGACTGATCATACCATACATGCAAAATATCCATACATCATCAGTTTTCATTTGAAATCAAAGAAGAGCGTGCCCCAGTGTAGTCTGACAATAAGCCCCAAGTGGTTAAATTCACACAGTGATACAAGTTGCCACACTCGTTCATGGAACCATTACCATATTTCTGTTATATGAAGTATAACAAGAGCATGCAAATCACTCACCATTACTGATGTGCCACATTTCTAGGTATGCTAGTTTTGCAGGTCTCTTCAAGGCATCTCCTGGATGTACATTCACAGATGTCTTCAGTACTGCCACTGCACGAGCTTCAGTCTGCATTAGGCTGTGATATATGCTACAGCAGCAGCAGCAACACCACCCCCTGGTCACAACATTCAAAACCAGTTAACCATTAAGGCGCATCCACGTTACTCGTGCTCGTCGGGAGACTCATCTGGCTTTTACTTGTTCTCGTAGTCTCCATAGTCTAGAGGTAACGTTCCCACCTCATGATTCGTAGTATGCAGGTTCAAAAACTCGGCGGAGGTCGTGGAATTTTTAAGGGCGGAAAAATTCAGGGAACAAGTCCTCCGGGAGGGACTTTAAGTCGTGGGTCCCGTGTCGTAGATTTACGGCACGTAAAAGAGCCTCATGTCTCTAGGAGACCTCTGAGCAAAATTAGGCAACATTTTCCGCCCAAGTAGTTTCCAATTCCTCCGGTAGATGGGGGAAGTATTAGGTACCACTGCCAGAGGAGGGGGGACCTCTCTGACAGAAAGGGACTAACTATTACATACCAGTGCCAGAGGAGAATGGAACCTTGCTGGCAGAAAAGGGCTGATAGTAAGCACCAGTACCGGTAGGGTATGGAGACAGTAGAAATTAAAGGGGAACGCACAATGGACCACTAACCAGTCTAAGTGCATGGGGAAGCACACCCCCTCAATACAGAATACGAATACTTGCTCTCGTAAATCTTCGTCCACACTACTTCAGTTGCTTACCAGGCTTCAGCGCATGAGGATCTTACTCGTAGTGTGTAGAGGCTGTAGTTGTATTTTAATTTACTGGCTGTAGTTTTTAAATTTGCTTGTCCCATGACTTGTCATATCGTCCACATTGCTCGCGAGCATAGTGAGTCACACGAGCACGAGTAATTTGGACATGCTTTTATGTGGCTTACAATAGAGGACTGCACAATAACATTAATATATACAGCGAAGAGTACCATCTTCTAGGATGTGATCCAATGTAATGGGGAGAAGTCGAAAAACCCAGTAATTCTAGAAGTTTACCGTCATTTCAGAGGGATGTATTGCTTCCGTCAGCTGGGTCAAAGAGTAAGCTGCTTGTTGCTTACTTCAATGTCTTACTCTTTGGCCCTGATGATGTTGGCAGTATGTTCCTTCTAAAATTTCAGTAGACTAAACTTCACCAACAAGCGGCGGTCGCTCACTCGGTCAGTATAGTTCGCTTGTGGACTAAAATTACAAGTCTGTTGTTCTACCAGAATACACAGCATCAAATCCTGGACACCAGTATTCTTCAGAGTCACTGCCATGAGTTTCACATCTCACTTAATGCAGGCAATTTCTTAAAATGAAACTTGGCCCAGGTTCGTTACACATCTCTACTAAGAGGGCTACCAATCTCCACAACACGAGGTTCTTTCATGTGCCTCAAACTGAACTCCCCTTCTTTAGTTGAGGCGGGTTATTTTAATTTTTCCCCAACAGACCATCTTTCATACTTTTACCTCATGATGGAAGAAAAGCCAGCTTCTGAAATGTAATGTTTAAACAAAGTTGACATGATGGAAACTGCATGACATATATGTCAGCTTTTAGATTTAAAGTTTACAGACAACTTTGCCATTTATTTACCTTAATGATTTCAGATTCAGCAATTGTTATTAACCTTTAATTGATGTTTTTTAATCTGAAGCAACTTTCTCTGTTTCTATACTCTGGAAGCCTCCAGGACTCCTTGTTCTGGGGGACAATAAATTAAGAAAATCCACATTTCAGTCCTTGTCCACAATGGCTCACAAAACTTCTGGCCTTCAATGGTTAAAACCAATATAAAGACATCTACTTTCAGAAGTACATTTTGGAAACAATAAAGGTAAAGTTGTCTGTGTGGTTAATTCATTAAGCACCATGCCATTAAGACATATGGGGAAGTGGAGGTATAGCTCCACCATTCTTGATCTCGGCACTAGATGAAGGTGAGCAGTCACCTTCACACACCAGCCTCTTTATCCCTGGAGGAAATACTATTACAGTTCTTTGTTTTGAACTCATAAAAGGTAAAGTTGTCCCTGTGCTTAATTAATTAAGCCCTGCGCCATGAAGGCATATGGGGGAGTAGATGTACAGATCCACATTTTCTTGACGTCATCAATAGCTCAATGTGAGTGGTCAGCTTCATGCCCCGGCTGCTTTACTACCTACAACTTCTATACAATAACTGTAACTGGAAGTTCACATGTCTACGATGTAAAATGGGTCCAGGACCCTGAAAATACATTCACTGAAACGGACTTAATATGGAAACTTGTTCGGTGTTCACTGAACAGCTGGTGAATGATTCCATTTTCAAATAATAAAAAATTTACAATATTCTCAACATTTGCGTTTGGGTTTCACAGTATTTACATGAGGACAGAAAATTCCGGTTCTACAGTGCAACATAAAATAACAGGTTAATGAAGTGGATTACAGAACGTGTTTTGAATGAAAAAAAGAAATGTTCATTTTGTTTTCTGCTACTAATGAAGCAATCAGTAACAAACATGCCTGGTAAATACTCTGATAACAAATACAGTACTAAATATTTTGAATCAGAAGTATGTTTTCCCTGCGGTAAGGTCAATATTGTGCAGCTAATTTTTCATACTAACCTGTTACTGATCGTACTGGTGTTGGCCACAGGCCAACTTGGGATACGTACATACGGAACAGCTGATCATACCACTATTCCCAACCATTTAACGCTGTCGACAGATTCTTCAGTAACCACGACTTACGTCCATCATATTCTTTTGTTATGAAATTATATTTCAAGCCGTAAATCATTTTCCAATTCTAACACCGGCATTCCTTGAAATTAATCCAATTTCCTGCGTACACACGTCATCTGTTGGCGTGTTATGAAAACAAAGCAGATCTCACGTGTGGTTCCGGCCGGTTCCAGCTCCGTTCATATATCACGTAAAAATACTTCTTAATTCATTGCCTATACATGCATCACTTCCTCTCCTGGGGGAATGCGTAAAGGCGGTTAGGATAATTTCTTAGATCGAGGTGCTGTGTTACTATGAAGTTTCAATCGTTTTAGAATGCCAATTCTGATTCATGCCGTGTGTTGTCTGTGTAGAACAGTACTTATTACATTCTTTTTTTATTCAGAAATCTTAAGGTTTAGAAACAATTCCACATTCAGTCAAGAAGTTGACGCTTAATACATAACCTCTATTTGGTGCGCATGCTGAACATAATGATATGGACGTCATTTTCGAATCGGGTATGAAACGAAAATTATAAGAAAGAATTCTCCGTACAATAACAGTAAGTTCATATCATGAGGCTCTTAATAAGTGAGTTGGTTAAATACATAACAGACAACCTAATATTTGCAAAAGTTCTAGAACAAAGTGCTGCATCTAATACACAGTCTTATTACATCAATATCGAGTAAATTGTGCATTTCACATTCCACTAATTTAAATACACGTAATGGTGTAACGAACGTCATAATACAATTCATATTGCAGCGGTTGTTCATGTGTAGGACTGCTTCATATTCATGTGGTCTGTAATGTTATCCTAGCTGGCTCTCATGGAGTATCCCAAACATATGGCTAAGTGTAAATGTCTGATCGACACGCTTCTTATGTAAATGTATCTTTACAGAGAGTCAAAGCGTAATATGCTTTCTCATGTTCATCCCAGTCCAAATACTGCCTCCATATATCTTTAACCAAATGCATACAGAAATAGTTTCTCAGTTGTGTTGTACATGGATTCATGGATGATGATGTATCAACCAGACATTAAAAGTACAGAGATCAGTAAGTGAAGGGAAAGATGTATTGTATATTGGCCTGCTTTTCAGATTTACAAAGTGTAATGAAGCCAGAAAATTAGAGAAACCATTATATGAGACTGCCCACCCCTTGACCCTTTTAATGCTAACTGAAGCTCAAAGGAGTTACATAAAACTGCATGAAATTGAAAGTGAAGGAATAGTAACTTAACAGATGAAAGAGTTGAGCTTTGAACATGACATAACACCATGTAGCAGAGTCCTTGGTATGCCAACAGTTTGTTGGCTAGTAAAGAAATTCTCTGCCTTTTACGGAATCTCAAATTTAATTATGTTGTTCAAAAGGATCCCCCACGTGTCACTGCTCTGAGCCAAATTAATCTAGTCCACACCCTCCTGGCTTACTTGTATACTCCAGTTAGTACCTTCCCTTAAAATATTCCACTTTTGCATCCCCCTCGTGCATGCTGTGTTCCCTGCACATCTTTTCCTACTTGATTTCATCGTCCTAACATTTAAAATGAGATTAGCTAAAAGTTACTTTCTAAATCCTTACCACTTACACACACGGGTCTCAGATTATTTCAGGTTATCGAGACAGGAATTTCTGACATAGCTATATGCCAGTATTTCCATGTCTGTGATGGAATCTTCAACTATGGACCAGCAGCAAATAGACTTGGCTGAAGTGGTAAGCTGAATACACATACACATAGGTGCTGTGGAGTTCATATGCCATACCAGTACCTTTCTAAACTCAAAATATTGTGTTTCCATGAGCAATGTGAAGCTAAACAAATTAATCTGGAATATTATGAATGAAAAGTGATGAATAAACAAATACATTTTCTAGGATCAAAGTATGAAGGGTTTGTTTCACATTGTAACACAGTTGGAAATTATGAGATTCTAGGATACTTTTCTAAAAGCAGACTTCTCGAGTCCCTACTTATGTATCTCGCTCATTCCCGGGCACCTAAAAAGATCTTGGAATATAGCAGAATAATATTTTGACTCTGTGACAGATGCAAACATTCATTTCATATACCTCCCATTACTTTTAGGGAGCTGGGATAGCTCAGTCGGTATAGTGACTGGCTATGGGCTGGATGACCGAAGGGTTGGAGTTCTAGTCCTGGTAGGGTCAAGAATTTTCTCTTCTGAACATTGGCCACACTGATTCTGGGGCCCACCCAGCCTCTTAACCAGTGGGTACTGGGGGTTCTTTCCTCGGGGTTAAAGTGGCTGAGCATGAAGCTCGGCACTTATCCCTATCTGGTGCCAAAGTTTAATACTGCATGTAGCTGCACCTCTGTTCCCCTATACATCTTCATGGCCTGGTGCTTAGGACACCTTTACCTTTATAAATATGTAAGTCATGTATGGCAAAGTATGTTCATTTTTTCACATTGATGCCATATTTAGATGCCATCTATAACAATCACAGAAATGTTGGTAGGGATGCCCTTGTTTAAATTTAAATTAATTGAAAACTACATGATGTCCTTGAAGTCTTTCATGTTTCTGATTTTCCATCTGTATCCAACTTCAAAGTAAATTTGATTTGCAGCCAGATCTACGAAAACTGGTGAGTTGCTTGGAGCAGCACAATGGTATGCAACTTACTGACGCTGTTCCTTGTTTAGTGGAAGTTTTGAATATGAACAGTGCAGTCCTGAAGTCTGTAAACATTAACTCACTTATTCAGATTGGATATTATGTTCTGGAAGGGGCCAGTGTTCACCACAAAGAGACTAATGAATATATTTCAAGATTGGTCGCCACATTATTGAATTCAGCAGTTGACGAAAACAACGAACTGAAAGTAATGCAAGAAAAATTTCTCCTTTCAGTCTGGTGCAGAACAGGTGAGGATATTTTATATTGCACAAATCAGTCTGTATCATTTATACTAAAAAAATGTACCTCATTGTGTGGGACCCACCCAGCCTCTTATCCAGTGGGTACCAGGGGCTCTTTCCCCCGGAGTAAAGTAGCTGAGGTGTGAGGCTGACCACTCACCTCCATCTAGTGCCAAGGTAAAAAGAAGGTGGAGCTATACCTCTACTCTCTCATATGTTTTTACCTTATCTTATCCTGTAGGGTACAAACATGAGAAATCAAAATGCATTCACCAACTGAAAAATGATTTGGATCATGGCAATGTCTCTATATTGTTAATGTTTTGTTTTACTTGGAAAATAAGTTATATGCCATAATTCAGGCATGACATTCCACAACTCATTACTGAGTGGGTGAACTGGGATATCTCAGTCTGTGTAGCAATGGGCTGGGCATGAAACCGTCCACCCACTTTAATGTAGTGCCGAGTGGTGGAACTATACCTCCACTCCCCACACATCTTCATAGCATGGTGCTTAATTCATTAAGCGTAGGGACAACTGTACCTGTAAAGCTATCTCTGCAACAGAGCATGAAGGCCCATAGGGTTGTGAGACGTTGAGGGTCCCACATTATCTAGACAATCGGCTCAAAGATGGCGGTAAGGTTATCAGCCCTATGCGTCGGCAGCGCTTTACTCCCCAGGAAAATTATTTAATTAATTCCTGGTACTCATTTCTGTTAAGAGGCTGAGTCGACCCCAGGGCCATAGTGCAGCTGGAAGGATTAGGTCAATTCAAAAAAATTCAATGACCTCATCGGGACTTGAATCCGCAACCTTCCGGCTTGTAGCATAGTGCCTCAACCAACTACACTACCGCGTGCCCCCACCTTTTACCTTACCAGATTGATTTTGTACTGTACCGTAGTGTAATGTTGGTAGTAATCAGGTGTCTTTATTCAGATCTTCTGCACTTAGGGAAAGTACTTTGTCACTGAAAGAAAAAAGGTGCATGTCCTCTGGGTGACCACACACAGGAGAACATGACAGAGTGCCACTCTAGGGTCAAGGAAAGAATGAACATGAGTAATGTGAATTAAAATCAGCTGCCTGTTGAAGTGCCTTTAAACCCATTCCTATTGTTCCCCACCCAACCTACACTGCACACATCCTCTCCTTCACCAATAGCAAACCAAGGATACACAGAGACAGCTGGAGTGATAGCCAGAAAAGAAACTAACAACTGGTGAGTGTGGCAGAAGGCTAGTACAGGGGACATTGCTGCTGGGAAGACAAGTGGTACAGAATCTGTGTTCATTCTTTCCCTGATCTGACTTCAATATTATATTAATTTTCTATCAAAGGATCTTTGTCACTAAACATTCTAATACAGGAATTCATATGTTGAATTTCACAATATAGTTCAGCACTCTAATCTTCAGAACTATGAATAAAAAGAAATTTTATCTTTACAGATACAATTTCATTGCCACTTCATCTACAGGAAAGATTAACCAACGAATGGAAACTCTATCTCCAGCGACTACTACTAGATCTGATAGTCAGGTGCCATTCTGTTTGTGATACCCAGTATCAGCAAAATTTTGCCAAGATCTTTGCTTCTCCAGACATGATCTACTTTCTCAACATTTGTCGTAGATCACCATTAATATTTCAAGCTACAGTGATGACATTTACTACCTTCCTGATACATAAAAAAGGCTGTGCTATCATAGGATCCCTTATGAAAGAATTTATAAAACTAGTGGAATACTATTCAAAGGAGAAACTAAGTTCCTTGTTCCCACCAAGGTACAAAGTACTGGTTTCCTGCTTGCAGGTAAATCCAGATTTAAACACCAGTGGCAGTGAATGTGACATAAAAGTTGGTGAAACGCACAGTAATCATGATTCTGACGCTCTGGATTTGTCCAAGGTGATGGAGCTTTTGGTTAAAACTTTCAGGGAAAACAAATATAGCGGTATGGCCTTACTGGGCTGCTTTCCAGTTTGGGTGCCTTATTTGGTTAAATACTATTTTCAGAAATATAACAAGAACTTCTTCACTGATTTTTACTTCTGAAAACATTTTTTTAAGATTTCTAGTAGAAACTTCAAAGTTGTGCCATACCTCAGACAATTACAAATGCCTGTCCTCCATGATCTTATGACGTGTAGTCTGGTAGATCATCAACATTTCAGAGGGCAGAAGACAATCTCCATAGTTGCCACTGTGAGGCACTCAGATCTTACATTTATATTCTGATTTCTCACCATGGAGGCTTAGGTTTCATTCGAGGGCAGTATGTGTGAGCTCCATGGTGGATACAGCAGCACTGGACTGGGTTGTATCTGCATCTGCGCACTGTTGGTAAACCCGAATAATAAGTATCAGTTTTAGACTTATTTCTCCATGACAGAGGTTTGGTAGCAGGAACAGATTACTATACCCACACATAATAAAGGGATCAATGAAAGTTGAGCTCATATCTGATGTGTTTAAGAGGATAGAGTACAAGAATTATGATCTATGATGGCAGCAACAGTGTTAGCTCCCACAGATCTGAAAATTAAGAAGGACATGAAGGAAGAACTGCTAAATAACAATACTGTAAGAAGAACAGAGCAAGATTGAAGTCAGCTGCTAGTAATGACAAGAAAGACAGTGGTGTTTACCCTGGTGAATTAATTTTGCTCTTAACAGGGTGCGGTTATTGCAGAAACAACGCAAAGAATATGGGACCTAGTCTTAAGGTTGTCCAATGTCATATCACAGTGTACTCATATATATTAGCTCCTAAAATTTGTTTATACAGTAAGCCCCCAACTTCCATGGGTAATTCAGTTGGAAGGATTCTGTGAAATTTCAAAACTATGAAGTTCAGTAGTGCTCAAATATGGTATATGTTTTAACATATATATGTTCATTTAAAAGTAAAAAAGTATGTACAATAAAAGTATGATAATATATTAAAATGTCTAAACCTGTACATCTGGTAGTACTGACCATAGAAGTCAAAATATCTAAAAATATAAAAGTAGTTATGTCTGTATATCAGTGGATTCGTGTAAGTTTCGGACGCACTACTTTTATACTATAAACTCTTTCTGTTATGATTTTCACATCTAAAAAATCTAATGAAAAATATTCTCCAAGAGAACTGTAACTGATAACAGTGATGCTTTACTTTATGTTTTGTAATATTCAGTCAATTGTGTCACATAATAAGAATGATATTGCAGAAATTATTTTATGTAAGGATAAACGAATAAAGTCAAAAGCTCATGATTCATGCAATATAGATAATTGTACACTTCAGTTACAACACAATTACTGGCATGTCCTAGACATAACTTCCATCACAATGCAGTACAATAACAAGCATGTTACTCCATCCTGAAGATATCCTAACTTTTGAAGTTGATGCAGATTCTCTCTGAAATGTCAAGCATAAGCAGACAATTCACAATATGTGCACAGTTAAGGATACTGACAGAACACAACAAATTAAGGATTTGTTAGAAAGTGGTAATGCGGGTTGATAGGAATTTGAGATTCATAGGAACCTATAACTGAATAGTATTTCATTTATTCATCTTCCATGAACCCTGTTGAGATAATGATAATAAAGTGGAAAATATATTCATTCAGCATTATAGGATTAGAAAGTAATATATTTCTTTTATTTTTTAAATATATGGCCATCAAGTTCAATATGTAATTTTTAGACACTACTGCTACAGAAATTTTAATTATAATGCTCACTAATAGGATTAACATGCATTTTATAAATGTGAAGCAGTCCATAATTTCAAAACTTTGTCTCTGAAATTTGTACTGGGACATGCAATTAAATTTGTTCTGCTCCAGGCCTTGCTACTGTAAGCTTCCCTTGGTTACGTCACTCAACAGTATTTGAACTATGGCATACTCACATTATTCTGTAAATTTACCCCCCCCCCCAAAAAAAACTATTTTATTAATTATTTATTTTGCATTGTTACTTACCACCTGTTAAATGTATTTTCTTCTTAATCCATCCCATACTGGCTATTTACAGGAACTTTCTGTTCTGTTGCTGAATTCTCGTCATCTGCTATTTTTATTCTTAAGAGATGGCAGGATATATTGGAAATCCTGCAGCTTGAAACGCGGTCAATTTGCATTCTCCGGTTGCAAAAATATACATGATGCAGGGTCAAGGAAGAAACTCAAAATTACCAAATCAGTTACACAAAACGAGGTTTGTGTGTAATTTAATTACTAATGCTGTTAGTGAGACTATGCCTAAATAGTTGATCAAAATATGACTATGCTATATAGTCCAGCTGTTAACAGTGTCACACCAAAACCCACAAAAAGGAAAGTATAAAAGTACCGGCTCCGAAAAAGCCGTCGTTCGACATTACACAGCACATGATTGAACGATGCACGAATTTGTGAAAAGCAGAGGCTACAGAGTCCGATCAAAGAGATACAGACGTGATGAGTATATCTTAATTCTAGTATGGAAAATTCCCCATTTAGTTACTTCATATGAAACTGCGCTGTTAGGGCGAGGGCATACCAAGGAAACTGGCAACCACGAAAACGTCAGCAACACGTCAAGTTTTCAACAATAACATCGAAAAGTATATGTGGTTCTTATGTGCACCGAACTGATTTTGGATTGTGCTGCAGTGGAGGTAATTATTGCTTGGGAAGATTGTCAACACGCGACTACATGGTTCCTCGTAGTGTTAATATAAACCGTCAGATGGAACCGCTTTGTTGGCACTGTTGTTGCCATGTTACCGATCCTAAACAAACCTTATCGTAACCTGTAAATTACATTTCACAATGTTGTAACGGTATTTCTCAGCGCCTTTGAGGCAAGTACGGGTACCATTGCTTGTAATTCTTACAGAAATTGCTGTTTAAGTAGTTATTGTTAGAAAATATTTGTGGCTTCGTAGTTTTCTTGTTTCACAGGCTTAGCACATGCGTCAATGCACTTAGTAATCAGACTGTTTATCATCGAATAAGTTTCCAGTATCTGTGTTTGGATACATTACTAAATGTAAATTACGTATAATGTACAATACAAAAAAGTTTTATTTTTTAACTGAATGCAATATGTACTATTTGCAGGCTTGCATATTTCATCGGTACCTGGCGTCCGTTTATACTGATTCAACTTTCGATGACGAGATGATATTATTTTGATCCATGATAACTACTATTCGGGCACAATATTTCCCATGCGATATTCTCTTCGCTCCATTTGTAGACAATTTTCGGATGTATAGAATGTAGATACCAGAGGCAAATTACGCGATAATTGTTTCTCTTCGTGACAGCAAAACACCTTTAGTTACAAAACAATCATTGCCTCGCATAATTTAACTACGACGGGAATGAAAACCTAGTGATGACAGCTATAAAATCGTCGTGGTAAATTACTATTACTCACATCCTTGTTCCATGAATACTGCAAAGTTACAGCTCAGAATAATTCTTCAGCCGCCAGGGGCCAGCAGTGACCGCTCAGCCAGTATAATAAATACGCTACGGGTTGGATGACCCAGGCATCGGGGTTGCATTTCCGGTATGGGCAAGGGCTTTCTCTCTTTTCCATAACTGAGGCACACCCAGTCTCCTGAACAATGAGAGCCGGAGACCGTTTCTCCGGGAGTAAAACCGCAGGGGCGTGAAGCTGACCACTCACCTCCACCTAGTGCCGAGGTGGTGCTATACCTCCATTTCCCATACGTCTTCATGGCGTGGTGCTTAAATAATTAAGCACAGGAATAATTCCACTTTTAATGGGCCAGCAGAGGAATTTATTTCTTGGGCCTTCAGAACGACACATTGTTCATAATATGTATATAAACGACACGGTTAAAACAAAGGTCATTTCTATGTAGATGTCATACAATTAGCTGAAAATCGCGTTTAAATGAATGTAAATGACAACAATAGGAAAAACGTATAGCATCAACGACTTATTACTACATTAGCTTCAGGCAGTACACTAAGCACTGATATTTAAAGTTGCGTCACCCACCACAAATTCTTCCCATCATAAGGGAAATTGCTACTTCACCAGTAATTAATCCGAAATTTGAGACCTGGCCCTGGCTCTGAAACTCGGACATTTAAACATTTTCATCTAGAAAGAAGTTACAATAAATCAATGACTTATTCCGAAATATATTACGTAATAATCCGCACCAACTCATAATTCGTAATCGTATCACAAAAAAAAAAACTAATGACACTTTTTTTGTAGCGTTTGCTAGGTAACGCGACAAGAAATTTATGTGGGCCTCGGATGAAACGAATATGTTTATTGGACAATTGCTTGTTTACACTCACGATCACAACCACTCTCACTTATAGCTCCTTCAGATGTTTCCTTTTCAAAGGTTATACGTGCGCCGCTACTTCCAGTGGAGCGTCTTGGCTCTTCGTTCTTCTCTTGCGCTTTGTCGGATCTGAACTTTCTTCTTGACTCCCTTAGCTCTCGTCGAAGCTGATGTGACTTTGCTCTCGTTGGATACGAACTGACTTGGTCCTCTGAATTCTTCTTCGCTTATATCCCACGCTCGGACGGGACAGAGGCCACCTTGTCGAAAGGTTCAGTTACGTTGCTGTCATGCAAACGACTCTCTCTCGTTGCTACGGGAATACATGTCTGCCTCAAACAATACGTTACTTAGGCATAAAATAAGTAAAACTATCCCTGCACCAGGCCTTGAAGGCCCATAGGGTTGTGAGACGTTGAGTGTCCCACATTATCTAGACAATCGGCTCAAAGATGGCGGTAAGGTTGTCAGCCTTACGCGCCGGCCGCGCTTTACTCCCCAGGAAAATTATTTAATTAATTCCTGGTACTCATTTCTCTTAAGAGGCTGAGTCGACCCCAGGGCTATAGTGCGGCTGGAAGGAGTAGGTCAATTGAAAAAATCCAATGACCTGATCGGGACTTGAACCCGCGACCTTCCGGTTTGTAGCATAGCCCCTCAACCAACTACTCTACCGCGTGCCCCCGTTACCCATTGCTAGCCTATTTGTAGCGGTGGAAACCCCACTGTTAGATTTTCATGTTGTTTAAGCGATTTCCTAGGCAAAAGGCTGCTTATATTGAGTTGTCTAGGAATTGCTAGCCGTTGACCAGTGATGGACGTCTTATCGCCCGGCCTTCCTGCCGCCACGTCACATTATATTTCGTACTCGCAAGAACGTTCAGACTGGAAATTATTCTTCTGCCAAGATATTCTTAGCTTTCCTCGGTCCGAATAAACTGTAAAGGGTGTAAGAAATATTTTCCTGAGAAAAGTACTTAATTTCTTATAACATGTCAAATTGCAATAAATAAGCGAATAACGGGTCATATCTTGAGGCATTTCATAAAGGTTGCCGTCTCATAATCTTTTTGCCTAAGATACTCTATAATGTTGTCCACACAACTACATCTGTCTCCCCCACCCCCCCAAAGNAATAATATTTCAAAAATAGGAAGATTTAGCTGTGTCTTAAACGTGCTTAGGACTTTAAAACAATGTTTGGATGATGAAATATTAATCTTTTCAATAAAGTCTGCCATGAAGATATATTCACTCGAAAAGTCAAATTATTTCAGAGCGAAGAGGCGTAGATTATTATAATATCATACTACATAAGCTTATAGCTTTGTATAAAAACTTTTGATTAAATTAAAATGTGTCTGAGTTAAAAATAAATTAATTTTCTTATTATTTAAAATCTTGAACTGCTGAGGTTTGTCTCCCCGTTCCTCTTCTGTGAAAATGGGAGTTTAAGGGGTTATTTTGGCGTTCCCTGAGGTCCGGGCAGAGTTGTTTCCCCCCTTTTATATGATTAATTGAGGATCTGTGTTGCTGTTTCTTTTTGTTGTGTACTGATTGCCTCGGTACACAACGAAAAGAGAAACAACTTAACAAATCTTTATGCAAAACGACAAGCTTATGTATGTATTAGTAGTACCTTAACATGTAGTTATTGCCTTCTGAAGATGGTTGCAACTGACCGAAACATGTAAAGGCACTATATAAATATATACTGAGTCACACTGGACGGTATTGTCAAACCATTCTATAATAATTAACCAGTGTGACGAACCACAGTGAGTAAAATTAACCCTTTAAACTGGTCGTAGATTACCCTCACATAAAAGAAACTTAATTCGCCTGTATGTGCGGCAACTTCTTTAACACCTTCGTGATGCGTGTGGTCTCATCATTTAGCTGCAGGAACAAAAACTTGACATACAAGCGGCGTGAACAGCACGTACTAGTAGGAAAGTCGCGGACTTGTACATCAGTGAAGACCAGTAATTGTTTAACAATCCTTAATTAAAATAAATATTTTTCTTTATAGCAACATTATGTTGTGCAATTTGAGGTTCTCTTGGCATATTTAGGTTAAGGTGTTCTGGTATATGACGCCGTGTAGTTCGGTAGATAAATACTAACACTTTGGAGGAAACCTCCAAGATTCTGGTAATATCTACCAAACTACGCCGCTCCACATTCCAGAATATCGCAGTCTCAGTATTGTACGCAGACGGAGTCGGTTTGGCAACTGGATCTACTCTCGTCTTCTGACGATAAGATTTAATAAAACTGAACAGGTTAGGAAAAGGTAAATTTGTCCTTGTGCCTAATTAACTAAGCACCACGCCATGAAGACGTGTCCGAGAGAAGACGCATAGGCCCACCATTCTTGACCTCAGCCGTAGATGGAGTGGTCAGCTTCATGCCCCGGCCACTTCATCCCTGAGGAAAGAGCGCCGGTATCCATTAGGTAGGAGACTGGGTGAGCCCCAGAGCTGGTCTGGACGCTGTAGAGTTGACAAAATCTCTAGACCCTGCCGGGAATCAAACCCCTCCTCTTTAACCCACAGCCCATCTCTATACAGGCTGAGCTATACCAGTTCCTACCGAACAGGTCAATTTATTATTATTACTGCTGCTGCTGCTATTGCTACTACTACTACTACTACCACTACTACTACTACTACTACTACTACTACTACTACTACTACTAACCTCTAACAGAAACGATTACCAGGAACATTTCTTAGGATAAAGGGCGGCCGGTGCGTAAGGCTGACAATCTCACCGCCATCTGTGAACCGATTGTCTAGAAAATGTGAGAGCCTCGACGTCTCACAACCCTGTGGGCCTTCACGGCCTGTTACAGGGATAACTTAGGTTACTAGATGATCCACCCGCAGTGCAGTGCGTCATGATTTGAAACTATATATTATTTATTTTTATTCATATGTCGCTGATTTACTGACGCTGTCAGTAATTCAGACAATACAGTGAAGAACTATTGTATGATAGCAAATAAAGAAATGAAAAAAATGAAAGAATGTAAAAATAATTGGCCTAATTTCTGATAATGTCCCGACATTTGCCTGAAGAGACTGAGGCAAAATTCGACAAATGTCAGTCAGCATAGTCGATTTCCCTGCCAAGATTTAAAACCAGGCAATTCCTGAATCCAAGTCCGATGCATAACAATTTTATTCACCGGGCTCAGTATATACACTATCACAGGACCTTTCTAACGACAAATACTTTCTTATTTTCTACAGTTCTCTTATTACTGAAAAATGGAAAGGAATCATGATGATTCTGAAGGCAGTTGTGCACAGAAAAACTTCCAACAAAATTCTAATGAAAATGCAACAAAGGAAAATCAATTACCAATGGGAATTCAAAATGACGTGCAATCATCAGGAAATGGGACTACTACTGATGATTTATCACCAGGTCCAAGTGATGACAGGTCACCAATGCTGACACCAAATACAACACAAGATTGGTTACATGAAGAAAATATTGAAAGTATTATTCACCAAGATGAAACAATTCCTGCAAGAGATAGGATTAAGGAAAGTAATTTAGAAGAAGGTACTCAAAATTTAACATATTGGAAGCCTGACAATGCAGAGGATATTGAAGAGCATACAGAAACAACCACTGGAGACAGCAGCTTGGAGCACTCTGAACAGAGTTCAGTTACCGAGGATCAGCATCAAGGTATATATTTAAAATAAAAGTAAAGAATAGTTTACATATCGCTGAGGTCTCAGTATAGTAGTGGAAAGTGATCAGAGTTCAGAATTGGTGTGAAGAACTCAAAATATGTGGGCACAGTTCTCTTTCCTCAGTCTCGCTGTTACCTTTACTGTAACATCTGAAACTGTATAGAGAGCATTTCAAAATATGAAAATATGCACAACAGATAAGACATTAATGCTGAGTGTTCAAATGATAGGTATGGATATGCTACTGCAGGAAAGTATTTTAATTTATTGAAATCTTAATGTGTTAGAAAATGATCCTTTTCGCACACATCATACATGCTTTGCAAAATCTTAGGAATCAGTTTCATAAAATAGTTGTGACATTACACAATGAATATTACGTTTCAATCATGTACAGCATACTTTGAGAGATTTAGTAAAATCTTCGATTTATTTAAACTACAAGTTTTATATTTAAATTTAATTTTCAATGTTTTTTCAGAAACAATGGAAATTGAACCAAAACAACTGCCTTCTAAACTACAGGCAGAAGAGGAACTATATAATAGTGAAACAGCCCCTAAATTGGAAGAGAAACCATCCTCCATCTTTGAAGGAAAAACAAAAAATTGGCTTACTGAAGAATACCCGAATTTAGATAACATGATTTCAGTCAGAGCATTCCAGAGTTCAGTGAATGAAGAAAACATGCTGAAAGGGCAAAACAAGTTACAGAAAAAGACTCAGAACTGGGCTGATTCATCATCAACTAATAAATATGGCGATGCTGATTGGGAAAGGTCATCAGGTTCTCAGGGGAGTAAATCTGTATACCTCAATGGACTTAAACCACATACAGATGAAATTCTACCCAGGAGAGAACCTTCCATCCCAGAGGAGTACAGTATCCAACCTGTTACAGTGAAATTCCTCATGAACAAGACGAGAGCATTCACTTGTGCTTTTGGAGTACATACATATATACAAGAGGTAAAGGAGACATTGTCAAGAACATTCCGATGTCAACCAATTGATTTACAGTTGATCAAAAATGGAGTAGCACTTTCAGATAGGCTAGAAATATCAGAGTTGGGAGTTGAACCTTATGGAACAGTGGAAATTGAGATGAAAGCAAAAGGGTCTTTGAAAACTGAGAGTATGTACGATGTTCCCATCGTGCCAGATGTTATCACAGTGAGAGTTGAATCAGGTATTCATATTTTACATGTTTATATATGTAAGACTTTACTTAAAGATATAATTTTGATTGTTACTTACATTACATTTCATGAAGTATGCAGTTTGTTTTAGGCACATAACATTCCACTAAGTATATTTATGTATATAACAGTTCATTTAAGTGTATATTTTATACTTTATGTTCATAGCAGTCAACTTAAATATATAATTTATATTTTATGTACATCACTCTTCATTTAAGTATGTAGTTTATATTTTATATACTAAGTATATAATTTATATTTTTGTGTACACTTCACACAGGTGTAAATTTTATATATCTACAGATATGTGGCAAATGTGTGTTATTAAAGTGGGACATGTTTCCATCACCTCATTTTGGTTAAAGAGACACACTGTTTTGAAAGATGCCTCTCTGTTTCCATAATAAGTTTTAAATATGGCTTTTCCTTCCATATTGAGTGCTTAACTAAAGCTAAGCTCTATCCCCAGACACAGGTTTAGGCATTTCTAATGAGCCCAACTAAGCAGGAACCTTTGTTACCTTATGCTTTAATATGTGAATAAAAAAGACTGTGTTTGAAGAAACTTAAGTTGGTATAAAATTTTCAAAATAGCAGTCACATTTAAAGTTTATAGTGATAATACACTCAAAGAAATACTATGTGACTGCAGAAGCTCTCTTTCCTTTACATCCATGCACACAAGCCCACATGCTCACTCATATTTGAAAGAAATTAATTTCTGTTCTAGCAGCTGATAAAGTAAGAGATGTTGTGGTTGAGATTGAAAGCAAATGCATAAGAAAACCATTTGTTGGAGGTTACCGGCATAAAACAACTGGAGTAGAATATCATCATGCATTTACACAAACACTATCGCTATACTTCAAGACATCTGTAGGAGGTAATTAATGATTAGTATTCACCATTGTGTAACATGAAGAGATTTGAAAGAAGTACGCTAGTTGATCTACAAACAACTGTACTGGCCTTTTAATAACTGTGAGATTTTAGTTTCTGAAGGCAGTGACCAGTTTACAAAATTATAATTATGCAATATTTAAGCTTATTTTGATAGGCATACCCCCAGTATGAAACCTTATGGAATAAAAGTCCTAGTGTTAATAACTCTGGTATGGAGATCTGAAGTCCCACTGTATACTGAAAATATAAATTACTAACTTCATGATAATGTAATGTTATATGTCACTGCCTGATGCTAACATACCCTCAAAGACATTTAGACATGGTTCATGAGATTCACTTTACCATAGAACTTTTGGTAATCATTGCCCACAACTTTAAGAAATACAAATATTGTAGGATTATTACAATTTCCATCAGTACTGATATGTAATGTTATGTATGCTTTTGGTAAGATGCTCATTCATGTGATTTCTTTAAGTGACCAACACTGTCATAGGGAGCATCCTTGAACCCCAAATTACACAATGACAAAGTCTGTGTGACATACATTTCATGTTCATCCCAATGCAACAGAGTATATGCATATAATCTGGTAGTTAATGTACTGAAATTTTCATTCAGAATTTTCTGGTTTCTTTAGTCTATGAATGTGAATTGAATGGTGATTTTGGCAAAACAGAATGGGTCTTGTATATTCTTATTCATTTAAATGTAATCATTAAAGACAGGTGGTGTAGTGTTGTTGGAATAGTGTATGTAACGTCCTCTCTGTGTATTTTGTAGTATGTGTTCTGTTTAAGTTTTCCGAGTGAGTCAAGTTCTAATTTACATAGGCCCACACTTGCTTCACCAGATTGTGACAATATACAGATATGTTACAACTGTGTGTACTCTTTCAAATTATCCAATTAATATATATAATTCATATTTTCATATTTCTTTTTTTTTATATGTCTTTACTGGCCAATATAAACATATAATTTGATGCAGGAAAGATATGTCGTGATACTCAAACAGTTGACTGGAGACAGAAGCAGCAGAATACTAGTTACAGTGTGGCAACCCAGATGTACAAAACTGATCATTATGTACCATGTAATGATGACAAGATACTTGAAGCAAAGAGGTATATAGAGGCTGATGAATTGGAAAGGCATACTGACTTGGAGGCAAAGGTTGGAATAATCTACAATTTATAATTCTATCTTGTTTGCCCCCCCCAATGCTCTTAAAATCTTTCATATCCATGGCTCGGGTTTTGTTTTTCTTTCTCTTGTGTTTGTGCTATATGTTATTTTAAATTTAAAGTAAACTTTAGCATTTAATGATTCTATATTAATAGTTTCATAAGTGCCATGAAGAAATTATGAGACTGAAATTAATTTTGACATTATTCTATGAATAAAATCAGACGTTTTCAAAATTCTGTTATTAATTATATTCTCAGGTAGTTATCATTCAGCGTCATTGGAGAGCGTATGCAGCTCGGCAGAAGTTTGCAACTTTGAAGATGGAGCAAGAGGAATATCTTCGTTGGGAAAGAAGGGAAAGAATGAGAATTGAAGGAGAAACTGATGAATGCTTGAGAAAAGAAACTGTTCGTAAAATATTCCCAAGGACAAGGGCTGATTATGAAATGCTCTATGCCATGGTGGAAAACTGGCGCAAGGCTGAAATTAAACGTATATCAAGCATGAAAACTGTTGCCCCAAAGAAAGCAGAATTCTGTTTGCTGCTCAAGAAGGAGATTGACTCTCTTAATGCTATTGAGAGATATAGACTTGAACTCAAGAAAGAGAAACTAGCCAAGAAAGAATTAAGCATTATGGAGAAGGTAAACGGTATTCAATACGTTTCTCTATCCCTAGAAGTATGATATTCTAATGTATAAAATATTTCACATTTAATACAGTTTATCATGTAGGGTTTGCATGAAATCATGATTTCAGAGTGCCCCTCCAGGTCAGTAATCAAGCTGCATGGATGAATTGAAGGGTTATCTGTGGAAATCATAGCTAGAGATGAAAACAGCCAGAGTTTTATGTTTAATTTTAAACAGGCATTCCACTAGTCTACTTTAACACAGTGGGACCCCCCCCCCCATCCCCTTAATTTTCCTTGATTTGAAGTTTACCATCATTAAATGTTCATTTTCAATGATGCCTTGCTAATAATCTCAGTGCTAAATTTCTCCGTGTAATATTTTTCTCAGTTTAATGTTCAAATATACTCCAGGAAAATGCTATGATGATGATGATGATGATGATGATGATGATGATGATGATGATGATGATGATGATGATGATGTTCTGTGGGCTCTATAGTCCATGATGAACCATGTCCTCTGGTTCACAGTTTCTTAATCATACAGACCAACGGTAGGACTCCTCGGGTGGGGGATCAGCCCACCACAAGGCAGCTACCTACATGGTACAACATAAACAGAATAAACGCAAACATCCATGCCTCAAGTGAAATTAGAACCTACGAACTCAGTGTTTGAGCAGGAGAAGACAGTTCATACCTTAGACTGCACGATCACCGTGATGAGTAAAATTCTAGGATAATATCTTAAATTAGATCATGTGCCCTTCCTTCCACGTCCATTCTAATACAGCACTCCCCCTAATGAAATTATTACAATTATTATATACCCTGAGTTACTTACAGTATCATTAAATAAACAACAAGTAAATAAATGCAGTTTAGTGACTATAAACTTCTATTTGTCATCACATGTAACATGTTCCCTTCCAATTTTTGTTCACAATGGTTTAGCTGTAATTCTATAACATTTGTTCTCTTTCAACAGTGTGCCACCCCAATCACATGGACAGGATATAAAGGGAAAGAAGTGACAATGGAAACTGTACAGATTCAGAGAGCAAAAGAGTTGAAGGAACTATATTATATCATGTGCCAGGACAACATCACAGCTAAGGAGCGAATAGAACTCCTAATTAGTCTTAAATATGCAGTATGCACATTACATTTATGCTGATTCAGTATTACTAAATTTTAGTAGAAGCTGGATTTCCATAAATAAACATTTAAATACAAAGTTTACAAAATTAAATTTCTGTATTCTTCTTTTGTTTACTGATTAAGAAGCAAATCTTTGCAATATTACGGGATACATGCCTATTATTCTGGACTATATCCATTGTTTTGAGTTTCAAACATGTTTCATATACTTTGTATGATTTGAGGTTCTTACAGTGGTGGTTATGAAAAGTTCTGTCTTCTGGGATACAACAGTGTGTAATCCATTGGCTTTTTACAGACTACACAGCATTAAATCCCAGAAGACAGAACTATTTATGTTTCACATACTTGACCTGGTTATATCATCAGATGTACAGGAGGAAATGTTTCTACTCAGTTGGGCTACTAAAAAAGAACTAGTCTTGATCACTAGGAGTCCAGAGGTACAAAACAATAGTCATGTTTACTGTAGCACAACACCTTGATCAGAAACATTCAGACTTAATTTACACTGTTAAATGAATATAAAGGCAATATACTTGTTACAATTTGCTTGCATGTTCTGTTACAGCTAAAATCATACAATCCCATGATGACAAACGAATTAATTTCATTATTTGAAAGGGAATGCAACTGCCTTCTGCACGGTGTGAAATCCGAGGATTTAGACAGCCTACGTCAGCGAACCCAGAAAAGTTTTATTGAACTAATGAAAAATCCAGAATTCAATCCCGAAGCAGCTAAACACACGGTAGGATAAACAGAAAGATATATTACTGAATTAACTAGAGAGATATTAATATGACAATTGGTCACTATAGAAATAACACATCTCGTGGTGTAATCCTAAAAATGAAAGCACAAGGGCAGTTTGGAATGCAGGTCCAGGTAAAAGGAACTTGGCATAAATCAGCATATGAAACTGTTTTCATTACCATAAACAGCTTCACACTTTTAAATGTGGAACTGAATGCACATACTCAAAAGATTCTGATGCTTTCACTTCATAGGTCAGAAAAGCTACAAGAATTTTACTTTTCACACTGGTGTGGTTAAAATAAGCACCAGACTGGGTCCCACCAGTCAGAAATCTCAAGAGAATTTGCCCAGGCCTGACTACAGCCTTATTACATCAAAGGAAAAACAAATTCATTCTTAAATTTTGCATTTGTGATCATACGTGGCATTTGCAAAGAACATAGCTTTTATTATGTGTATAAGTTCTTTGAATTTTATTAAATGGTGATGGTAATCATTGTGAAAGCAAGATAAGAAGTGATCGTGTGGTGTCATATAAATACCGCATAAGCCTGAACATATGGGAACCCCCTATTTTTCCTACCAGAAAATTAGAACACAAAAGTTTTTTTTTTACAAAACTTAATATACCATTTAGTTCTGAGAATTGTAAAGATAAAGTAGAAAAACAATGCTACTAAGAAACAAATTCAAAATCTACTATCTTCATTCTAAGTGTTTTCATATACATCATTAGTAAAAGCAATTATAACTCCTCATAATCATCATCTTTACATTTATTCTTTAGTACCTGAAAATAATGGGATCCATCTTTCATAAGAAGCAATATTTGAATAAAAACCCTCACCTTATATTAGGATTAATATAGTATTCCATTCTTCCTGTTACTTAGACGTTTACAGAGGACATCACCATGGGGGGGGGGGGATCCTAAATGTGGATGGGACAATAATATTAAGATATATCTTAGAGAAATAGGATACAGACTGAATTTATCTAACTCATGATAGGGATAAGTGTCAGGTGCAACTGTTAAGTTCTCACAAAGGATTAAGATTCATTGAATCAGAGGCATTTCTCTACAACAGAACTTGAAATCTACTACATTTCTTGTCAATAAATAATACAGAGGTATTCTTTTATAATTGCCACCATCACTAAATTTACAGGTAATTCTAGTTTCTTATGTCTGTAATGAGTAGGGTAAGTTAGAGTAAGAACCAGACTAAACCTAAAGCTATATTAACCTGCCGTCAATACCTCTGTATATCCCAGCTATTTTTAAACATGTTCTTCTCTATAAGAATAGCCAAGTTACCAGGATTTTGAATAGCTTCCCAAACTCACTTCAGTAAATGCAGACGAAACAGTGATGTTAAATTAAGGAACATTTCAAAACCTGCAATTCCAAATTTAAGCTTACTTCATCATTATGTTATGTTCCATCCATGTAATCACTATAAAATATAAATTTCACATTTATGTACAGGTGTACGATTGGAAAGGAAATGAAGGGAAACTGAACTTCTGCCAACGATGCCAAAGACTGAAACCATTTAATGAGTTTGCAATCTCTGCAACGACACAGATGTTGGAAAGGTGCATTTCCTGTGCCTGGACAGATGAGATTGCTAGGTCCAGAACTGATCTGGAACCTTATCGATTCATGATTCGTTCTCTCCGTCGAGAAGAGAGGAGACTTAAATGTTTCACATCATTAGCTTTCATTATGCAGGTAAATTAATGGAATACTGGTAACTCTTGCACAAACACACTATGCAGCAAACTTATATATGCATGCACATGTATATACACCTCTGTACAAATCTACTTGTTGCCTCGTCCATGCAGAGTGCAATATACAGGCAAGTGAGCGGAAGAATATTAGAATTCATTTGTTAATATTCTCTCTCACTGTGTTTTTATTTTTCCACAGATGTTGAACTGTCAATGATATCTTATGTATGTACTCTAGATCATAATGAACAACATTTTGTAGGTCTTGTACATTATACAATGGTATGTAGGCTTGAAATTTGAGTGTCCCTGCCATGGACTGTTATAATGACAATGAAAGCAATGGGGCGAAGACTACGTAATTCCTTTTGTTCATAATAGAATTGCCTCCCATTAAATCTGAAGCAATTATATAACGATATTAAACGGTTTAAATTAAAATTAAAAGAATTCTTGAGTTGTCACCCATTTTATACTGTGGATGAATATTTTGTATATACTAGTCAGTAAGATTAATTGTATTCTGGTTCTATTCTTATGTCTTGACATAGTTCTTTGTACTGCTTATTTATCTAATATGACCTTTCCACATCCTAAAGTATTTGGATTTTACGGGAATAATAGATGAGCAATGAAAATGAAGAAAAAAGCTTTTACTGATGCCTGAACCCTTTGACAGTTCTTTGTCTTGGTTCTGCGTTGTTTTTGTAAACTGGGGGAGTTTTGTTGTATATATGGTTGATATGTTCTTTTTTATTGTATTATATTATGAATGCCTTGACTTGTTCCTGTGGGAATGGAATGTTTGTTTTTTGATCTGTGACTCATTCTATATCCAATGGTTGTTTCTCAGCCTGTATCTGGACCTATTTTGAATATGAAATAAATTGAATTGAATTGAAAATATTAATTTTGAAAGAGAGGACTGAATTATATTAAATTTTTAATTTATCATATATGTTATATGGAGAAATGTTATCATGAACTAAATACGTGGAGATGTATATATAGTGACAATGGCTCATGAAGAAGTGAGGAATATTTTGCATATTTCAAGTACAAAAAGGGCAGGGGTTTGGAGCAGATCATTATATTTTGAATTTCTGTGAGTGTATATTCTGCAATGAATGTGAATCTTAAAGTTTAAAAATTAAGAGAGATAGCTGGAATAGCTAAAACAGAGTTATAAAGGACAAAACAATTCCATCCAGTGTGACTTGAAGTTTTTACTACTTCAATTCTTAACACCCTTACATGTTTCGGTGCCTATAGACCATCATCAGAGGGACATCGATACTCTTTGGAAACTACTATCACAGTGGGTGTTTTGAGTGTTAAAATACATACACATACATGTTTGTAATGCACAATATATTCTTTTTCTTGTGGCGCTACAGCCCCAATTTGGGCCTAGGCCTACCTCCATGAAACTCTCCGTTTCACTTCGGTTTACTAGATCTTACACATACGGTAGGACTCCTTGGGCGAGTGATCAGCTCGTCGCAAGGCCTCTACCTGTACACAAACACAGAAAAACGCACACAAACATCCATGCCCTGAGTGGGATTCGAACCCACGATCCCGGCTTCCCAGCGAGCGAAGACAGTGCATGCCTTAGACCGCTCGGCTACCGTGACCGGCTATGCACAATATATACAAAATCTAAAATTTTCACAACTACAGCAGACGTCTTGGTATATTAAAGTTTTTTATTTAAGTTAAAATTTACAAACCAAATAGGTTTGTGTCCCTTCTCTTATCATCTTTCTTGAGGGGGGCCGAACTTGTGCCGCCTGTCTTTCTTGAGAAGGAGGTTCTTTGATATCATCCTGTGTTTGTTCGTGGTGTGCTGTGTTGTTTTTACTTTATATTTTGTATATATTATGCATGACAAACATTGTATGTGTATGTATTTTAACACTCAGAACACCTATTGTAATAGTGGTTTCCAAAGAGTATTGATGTCCCTCTGATGATGGTCTATAGGCACCGAAACATGTAAGGGTGTTAAGAATTGAAGTAATAAAAATTCAACAGTCACACTGGATGGAGTTGTCTTATCCTTCATTATATTGTTATTGTGATGGAACAGAATGAAACAAATCAAACTAAACCAGAGATCTGAAATTCTCACTATGCTGAATATTAAGATTATGGTTTTCTTGGCTGCGGTGCCTTGTATTCTGGTAGATAGGTACCACCATTTCTAATGACGCTGCTGCCTTGTCAGACTGAAAGATGGAGGCAGAATGTTAATTCGAACACTAGTAGTTCAGACTACATAATTTCAAAACGGAAGCAAATTTCTTCTAAAAGGACATTTTTAACAGTTATGATTAAATTACACTCTTTTATAAATAGTAATGTCATAAATAATAGTGCACAGACCAAGAGCCCCAACAAATAATTATATTAAGTCCAAGAATTCTCATGCCAATAGAAGAAATTCAGTACAGTGTATTCTGCATAGCATATTTACTAGTGAAATAAAAATTAGTGACCAACTTTAAACAATAAGAAGAAATTAACTTCTGATAAGTGAACATGTGCTGTTATTACTGCAGGAGCTAAGATAACTTGGTCATTGTAGTAACTAGGCTATGGGCTGGATGAATGAGGAATTTGGATTTAATCCCTGGGAGAGGCAAATATTTCCTCTTCCCCTTAGCATCCAGACCAACTCTGAGGTCTAATCACCCTCCTATTCAAAGTGTATAAGGTGCTGTTTCTTTTGGGGATAAAGCAGCCATAGCATGCAGCTGACCACTCACCTCTATCTAGTACCGAGTTTAAGACCAAATGGATCTCTACCTCCACTCCCAGTACATCTCCATGGTGAGGTGCTTAATTAATTAAGCGCAGATAAAGGTAAAGCTATCCCTGTAACAGGCCATGGAGGCCCATAAGGTTGTGAGACATCGAGATTACCACATTTTGTAGACAATTAGCTCAGAGAGGGGGGTGAGGTTGCCAGCCTTACATGCCAGCTGGCCGCCCTTTACCCCCAGGAAGTTTCCTGGTACTCATTTCTGTTAGAGGCTGAGTTGACCCCATGGCCATAATGTGGCTGGAAGGATTAGGTCAACTGAAAAATCTAGTGACCTCAATCAGGGATAGAACCCATAATATTCTGGCTTGCAGCATAGTGCCTCTACCAACTACACTACCATGGTCCTGATTAAGCACAGGTAAAGGTAAAAAGTAAAGTCTCAGTGTGTAATTAATTGTTTCACATAGGTTATTTTACAATGTTTTTTTCAGTACTGAGACTATATAGCATCAGTTGATTAATTAAGCACCACACCATTATTACATATTGGGAAGTGAAGGTGTATCTCCATACATTCTTAACCTCTGCACTAGATGGAGGTGAGTGGTCTGCTTCATCCTTCAGCTGCTTCATGCACGTGGTACCCACCGGAGAGAAGGCCAAGTGGGCCCTAGAGCCTCTTCCCCAAGGCAAATTTTACTTCTTTAATATTATTACTGCAAACAAGACGTGTTTTTACTTATAGGATAAAGACTTCTATAATCTGATAGTAAATATCTGGCACTGCCGCTCCCCCCTGAGTGAGGTAGCAGAGACACATAAACTTCGTCTAGGTCGATGGGATGTGACAAAAGACTGGACACCATGGAACTGCATTCTCCTCACTTCTGATGAGATGAGGGCACATACTGAAGTGAAGAATATTGAGGAGGTGAGTACACAATATTTGTAGGAAGAAAGAAAAAATTGAAGACTTTTCATTCCTCAACATGCAATTCTCAATGCAATTAATCATATTTGCATATCTTTGTATTCCAGACATATGCACCAGATTTTGTAGCAGATGTAAGACTCAAGCACAGGTTGGCTGAATGTCAATTCTCTCATCTCTTCAAATTTGACAAGCAGCTTGTTGGAAGCAGAAAATGGTTTGTTGTGAAAGACACCAAGGGCTACACACCGCTATCTCAGCCTGGCGACACTTGAAACGGGATGAGAATAAGCTTCTATATTCATGGCATTGTAATGATATTGTATGTATGTATCGGTACTGCCCAATCACACTGTAATAGTAGTTTCCGCTTGTACTGATATGTCCTTCTGAAGATGGTCTCTCGGACCGAAACATGTCTAGGATGAAAGATTAAAAAGGAAAGAAAGAAAAAAAAAGGACATTTTATCAGTCACACTGGATGGAGTTGATTAACCTTTTATAATAAGGAAATTATGCTTAAAGTAAAATCCAGGAACAAAGATAAAAAACAACACTGTCCAGTGTGACTATTTAAGTTATATCACTTGAAAACTCATCACCCTTACATGTTTCGATCCCTACGGATCATCCTCAGAGGGCATCAATACTTTTTCCGGAAACTACTATTGATGCCTTCTGAGGATGATCCGTAGGGATCGAAACATGTAAGGGTGATGAGTTTTCAAGTGATAAAACTTAAATAGTCACATTGGACGGTGTTGTTTTTTATCTTTGTAATTGTTAGTGTGACGGACCAGAATGAAACAAATCAAAATCCAGGAACGCTCTAATGATGATGTAACAGCCTACGTCACTAACAGAAGATGATGAAACATCGTTCATATAACAGAAGGAGTATAACAACTATGATTCTGTGTTTTTTAAACGGCTAAAATATGGCATAAAAATTCTTAATATTTAGTGTTGTCAAGTTTTCGGCTTGGCATGGGATAGGATTAATTTACATCGATACTAACTGCTCAAAGAATTTCTATCTCTGCTTCTGATTCTTCTGCAGCCTCCTCTGAACCCTGAATAGCATTTGGCTCCATTCCACCCCGTTGCATGTTCAGTTGTTGCGAAGAATCGTCTGTTTTCTGCCTCTGTGAACCGAGACTCCTGTCTTGTGGGTTCTGCTTCACGCTAATGCGTTTTACATCTGCTTCCAAACGACTCTCTTCAACGTAATTCTGAGGTGGAAGATGACGCGTGCGGATAATTTCAGCCATGACGCGAGATGAATCCTTAGGAATGCGTGGTCGAGTTGGGTCGCTGTAATTCACGTAGTAAAGCCCGAACTTTTCCCTACAAACAAATTACACGACAGTCAGATTACACTGTTCGTGAATAATTTCGATTAAGTAAACCTATCCCTGTAACAGGCCGTGGAGGCCCATAGGGTTGTGAGACGTCGAGGCTCCAATATTTTCTGTAGATAGTCGGCTCACAGATGGCTGTGTGGTTGTCAGCCTTACCCGCCTGCCGGCCGGTCGCTCTTCACCCCCCAGGAAGATTTCTGGTACTCATTTCTGTTAGAGTCTGAGTCGTCCCCAGGGGTCAGAGTGCGGCTGGAAGGATTAGGTCAATTGAAAAATCCCAATGACCTCCTCAGGAATCAAACTCGCTATCTTCTGGATTGTAGCATACTTTCTAAACCAACTGCGCTACCGCGTGGCCACGAATAATTTTCCTTATCGCTCGATCTAATGGATAGATGCTTTCTTAAGTTTATAAGAATAACCAGAAAGGTTAATTTCCTTAAAACACAATAAGTGGAGAATTCAATCTTAAATATTTACTGAACGTCACTTTTCTGTGTAAAATCGACTAGGACAATTCCCGTTAAATAATCTACGGAAATTCTTCTCGTTAGTTCCATAAACTGTACTGATATAACGGAATTGAGGTTCTCACATCAGTGACTATGAAGAGTACAGTTTTCTGAGTTGTAACGCCGTGTAATTCGGAGAGTGGCCGACATTTCGGAGGAACATATCACCTCCACCTTGAGGTCCCAAGAGTAAGCCAAGCGAGGAACCTGGTCAAACAGCCTGCAAACCTCTGTCAGGATAGACCGTCCCATGATATAATTTGAAGAATGAATGTAATAGGTTCATCATGAAGTAATTGTTCTATCGTAATAGGAGATTTGGTGCTACAACGTTGCTATTTAATTAGGGCCACTCTTCTAGCCCTTAACTGGAAGCATCAGGTTTCTCCGAAACTTTAGTAACTACCAATCAAAGCTAGATGGCCTTACGTGTCAGAAGACTGTGACCCCTCTCTCTTTCTCTCTCTCTCTCTCTATGGCCCTATAGCCCTTGTGGACCTTGGCCGCTTTTCAATTTCTTAATCTATACACCGTCGGTAGGACTCCTTGGACGGGGGATCAGCCCGTCACAAGGCCGCTACCTACACACAGAACAATACAAACACAGAATAAACGCACACAGACAACCATGCCTCAAGTGGGATTCGAACCCACGATCCCAGCGTTCGAGCGGGCGAAGACGGTTCATGCCTTAGACCGCTCAGCCACCGTGATCGGCAGACTGTAAATCTAACCGTTCTGAATGCTGCTATTTTCTGATGCGGTACTCACGTGTAACCTCTCAGCCATTCATAGTTGTCGATAAGGCTCCACGCTGTGTAACCAATCACTTTGCAGCCATCTTCATGGATTGCTTTCAGCAGTTCAGATAGGTAGCTCTATATAACATATCATCCACGGTCAGAGTTGATTGTCATTGGTACGGAACAAGAACATTGCATCTTGTAGAAGTTACTGTCTTTCGGGTAAATTACTTATAACTAACCCTCCATAAGAGGGCCGCGCCATAGCTCAAGCGGTTAGTCGCTGGCTTCCCACCGCGGCGGCCCGGGTTCGATCCCGGATCTTGTCAAGTGGGATTTGTGGTGGACAAAGTGGCGCTGGGGCAGGTTTTCTCCGAGTACTTCGGTTTCCCCTGCTAATCTTCATTCCACCAATTGTTCCACAATCACCCTCGCCTATCATCTGGGACTGGTACAATAGGCCAGAAGAGGCCGCAGTACAAGGGACTTAGTCCCACACCACTAGCAATAAAAGAATCCCTTCATAAGGCACTGATGAGGCCAGGAATGACTTATGCTTAGGGGCAGACACCCACCTCTTAAAATTGCAGCGCCTGGAAATATTCCAAGGGACACACCGGTCCGTGATTTGCACTCGGCTTTCAACCCTTCTTATGTATACGATTATGTAACAAAATCGTCCAGGCAACAAGCAAAAATCATACAAAATCATGAGAATGAACAAGTTCGCGGTATAGGACAAGGCGAAACCAGACATTGAATATATAAGAGGCTTAAACTTGACGATGGTCAAGCTTACGACCGTTTAAGTGATTAACCTGCCGTTGTAGCATAAGATATGTAAGATGGGCACGATCTGCTTTGCAAAGCCTGTACTGACAGAGGACTTGTGTGTAGTGCACAAGGAAGAATTTTCAATAACATGCTATTTGTTCGATATGTACACTTGACAAAAAAGGTAAAAATGGTAAAGCTATCCCTGTAACAGGCCGTGGAGGCCTATAAGATTGTGACACGTTGAGACTCCCACATTTTCTAGACAATCGGCTCACAGATGACGGTCAGGTTGTCAGCCTTACGCGCCGGTCGACCTCTACCCCAGGAAGATTCCTGGTACTCATTTCTGTTAGAGGCTGAGTCGACCCGAGGGCCATAGTGCAGCTGGAAAGTTTAGGCAAATTGAAAAAAAAAAAAAAAAGCAATGACATCGGGAATTGAACCCGCGACCTTCCGGATAGTAGCATAGTTCCTCAACCAACTACGCTACCGCGTTCCCCACAATTGACACAGGCCAAGAATATTCATAAGCGAAAACCCCACCTTCTCGCCAGAGAGGGTATTATATAAGGACTATGACCGCAAGGGTTCAGTTGAAAAAATGTCTCTGGTAGTGATTCTCAAAGGGCCTGATGCCAACACGAACTCATTGGGGGTAAAATCCGCCCGTCTGACTTTGAAGAATTGACAGTTGCAAGGGAGCCGCAGTTCGGAGAGGACATTAGCCCGGAAGGAGGACTAACCATTGTTAGAAGCCATCGCCAGGCAACTATTAGTGAAGGCATTGCGGGCTTGAAAAGACGTTGCGTGATTTTGTAAAGTGTACAAATAGCGATAGTGCTATTTTTATTTGTAGTTACGACGTGTAAGTTGGGGTACGCGGTAGCGTATTTGGTTGAGGAGCTATGCTACAAGCCGGAAGGTCGAGGGTTCAAGTCCCGATGAGGTCATTGGATTTTTTCAGTTGACCTAATCCTTCCAGGCCCTTGGGTTTACTCAGCCTCTAACAGAAATTAGTACCAGGAATTAAATAAATAATTTTCCTGGGGAGTAAAGCGCGGCCGGCGCGTAAGGCTGAGAACCTTATCGCCATCTTTGAGCCGATTGTCTAGATAATGTGGGAGCCTCAATGTCTCACAACCCTATGGGTCTTCACGGCCTGGTACAGGGATAGCTTTACTTTTTTTACTTACTTTTACGACCTGTAAGTTGACAATAAATCTATTCATCTATCCGAACCCCGTCTATAGCAACACACATATTACGTGACAAATATAATAACTTCCTAATATTACATTATAATTGAATTTATACTGAAATTCAGGTTTTACTACTTACTGTATAATAGGTGGTTCTGTTTGCATCCCTCAGTTCCCCATGATCGGAAAACCCATTCTCTGTCACAAACACAGGTGGGTTGTTGTATTCGTGCGCTATCCATGCGAGTAGCTTCCGAAACCCCCATGGCACCACCTGAAAAGTAGATCCGGTAACACTGACATTTCTAAATGAGAAGAGGATGCGAAAATAAGGCGAATTACCCCAAATAAAAAAAAATAGAACGATGAAGTAGTCCTCGAGCTTCATTAATTGTCACGCCATGAAGACGTACGGGAGAACGGAACTACAGCTCCAACATTCTTTACTTATGTTCTGGACGGAGATGAGTGGTCAGCTTCACGCTCAAGCCGCTTTACCCCGATGAATTGAACCCGCCTTACACATTAAACAGGAGGCTGAGTTTGCCCTAAAACCTACCTGAAGACTGTGGAGTATAGAAAAATCTCTTTCCTTTGTCGAGAATTGAATCCCGGCTGCCCATCCCGTAGCCCGTCGCTAAACCGACTGAGCTCTTCAGGCTTCACGAAGAGCCTACGTTATTAATATTTCGCATATCACGCCCTTCCTTTCATTTTTTATACTTCAAGAGGGTAAATCAAGAATTTTCTGTTCTCAACGTTGTCTGGGGTTCACCCAACCTCCTACTGAATGGGTACCGGGGACTCTTTCCCCCGGGGTAAAGCGGCCGGGACTTTAAGCTGACCACTCACCTACAACTAGTGCCGAGGTCAAGAAAATGTGGATCTATATATCCACTCCCCAATATGCCCTCATGGCTTAGTGCTTCCTTAGTAGACACAGGCATACTTTTACTTTAACTTTCAAGGGGGTAGATGTCTGCCTCACCATTGGCTCCCATACCTCATACCATATTTCCTTAGCATTCACTTTAATATTATTCTCCCATCTACGTATAAGGCATTCGAGTTTCCTCAGGTCCTGCGAATAAAATGTCTAACTCCTATAGATTTGGTCAACGTAGTAAAATTTGACGAAAATTATACAACTGATAGTGACTGTGTGCCTTAAAGCAGGCATTGTTTTCCAACGCTCGAACACTGGACTCCTAGGTCCGAATCCCACTGGGGCATGGGTGTAAGTCCATATTCTTTCTATTCCTATTGTTCAGAGTAAGTAGAGGCATTCCAAAGGGCCGATACCCCTTCTAAATATTTCTGAACTCTGTCTGAAACATCTCTATTGGTCGTTGCAAGAAACGGCGTTACTTATAGATATAAATATATCTGTTATTTCGTGAAAGTTGAAAAGAAATATCTGGTCATGAGCCCCAGCTGGGGCTCGACACCAAGACCGACAGACTGACTGACCGTCAGTTGTAACATGACCTGACCTGACCTGAGTTGATATTCCATTGTGTCACCTATTAATAACGATCCCTAGGATGGCTATAAGGGAGATATCTTTGAACACACTGGAATTTTCTTCCGTAAAGTTGCCTACCCAAGGCATGACGTACTCTCAAAGATGTTTTAGGAAGTGAAAACCAAATGTCTAATCGGTTCAAGTGTTGTAACCCCCCATTTCGGGGATGACGGGGCAGTAGCTGAGCGGGAGATGTAGTTCTGTTGTTTGGTGGACCGAGATGGCTGTTAAAAGAGCTTGCTTAAAACAAAACGGAAACAGACACAGTTTCCGTCACTTAGAATCCGGACGATGGACAAGGTCCGAAAAGCCGGTATCTCTGAACAAGACGTTTGTTATACACACTTTGCATATGTACAGACTAGAGGACAGGCATACCGCCTAAGGACAACGGCGAAGGCCGGCTTCTAAACAGCATAGAGTCCCCCGTACAGACTTGTAGTGACTGGTCAAAGAGCTGCTTTACAACTGTATTAACTCGGTTTTTATACTGGGCTTTGGGGTAGTTTCTCCCGGAAACTTCCGCTGGTCTTTCCCCTTGTGGTGACATCGATCAAGCTCGAGGGCGTTCTATGGATCTTGACCTAATTGTACATTGGGCTTTCTTTTGGACTTTACCGATGTATGGTGGTATGTTTTCAAAAACAAGGGCGTTCTATTTTAGTCTTTGCCCTCGGGCTACAGGACAAGATAAATTTAGAAAGTTTACAAACAACATCTGTGAAAGTCCATGTTACAATATTTCCTTGTAGTACAGACAGTTCTTGTCACAAGTTCGATATTTTATTAATAAATCATCATAGTTGCTTATTCCACATCACCAGGTTACTATTAGCATATACAACACAAAGAGGTTTGTTCTGAACTTGAGGAGCCCAGTGGGACTGAACCATAGAACTTGAATAATATACACAATGGAGCTCCTTATTATGAATTTTTCTTCGTGATGAAAGATGGACTGATATAAATATTTTGGTACATTTACGACTATAGTGATGACTGTTATCTGAACGGAAATGCATGTGCAAGTAAAAACATATTATAATATCAGGTCGAGGATGGAAAAAGAAATATATTAAACTTTGTCCAAAACATCTTTGAAGTTGCGTCATGCCTTGAATTGGCAACCTTACTTACTTAATTACTCACGGAGCTGAGCCCTGCTTGAGGAGCCGCAAATTCTGCAGCTACTCAAAAATTTCCCAGCATTTTATGAAACCCGATAGTTCATTACCGTGTTCACATGAGTACTCCACTGGTCCATATTCTGAGCCAGATCAATCCAATCCATACTATCCCATTCTATCTCTCTAAGATCCATTTTAATATTGTTCACCCACCTACACCTTGGTTTTATCAGTGGTCTCTTTCCTTCTGGCTTTCCCACCAATATCCTATATTTATTCCTCGTTCTACATGCCCTGTCCATCTCATCCTCCTTGACTTGATCATTCTACACTTGGAGAAGAGTACAAGTTATGGTAACCTTACGGGAAGAAAATTTCCGTGTGGATCTCCAATATGGTAATTTTGGTTCCTGCCATAAGAAGAAAACGTAATATAGTAATGATGTTATGAACTATATCGCTATGTTGTACTGGCGTAAGGTCAAGGACGTTTCAGACACTACAGTAACATACAACTCTATCAATGATAATATGACTTATGAAGTTAATATCTTGCCTCTGTGACGTACTTTAAGCCAAATAGAAGCTGAGCTTGGCCAACTGGGATCCACGCTGAATTGGGCCCCAATATCTCTAATAAACGAAGGAAATTCTCCAAACGTACCTGGCCCAGCCAAGAATGAAGAGTAGTGATTCAGACCGAAGAAGTCAAAACTTCCTGTAACATATAGGAATTGTGTTAACCGTCAACAGAACAAATATACTCAATTTTAATGTTTTCAATTTGTATATATTTCTGCCGTATAAGACCATTACCAGATAGTACTCTTCCTAGTGACAGCTTTGAGGGTCTTAAATCGGAAAACAGAACTAAAATGGAAAGAAACAGATGAATGAACGTCAGTAAGGTATGAGAAATTGTGATGAACGCATGTCGAAAATGCGTAGTGCAAGCATACGTATTCTGTCTAACCATGTCACCAACTTCACCATAATAAAATTACCAACCTTGGATATATTTTATCTGCTTCTTGCTGAAAGTCGGTAGTCTAGATCTGGTGCGACCTTCTTTCATACTGTTGTTATAAATCCTCTCCTTCATGACAGACGGATAATCGCCTCCAGAACTGAAAATGGGGTGTGCAAACCAGCCCAGCTGAAAAATATAATATGTGTTTTAATTGATGAATAACTCTACTTCTAACCTCTGTATCTTACATATGAGATCCAAGGCGAATTCATAAAGCCTCTTTCTCTATTGCAATGACTTCTAATCCTACAGATCTATTTCTATTAATGTTGTTATGTTATTTCCCTTAATGAAGAATAGATTTCCTAAGTATAAATTCTGGCTACATTAAATTTATCGAATAATCCTAAAGTTTCGCGCTGTCTCCATGTTTGCTGTTTTTAATTTAGAAACAATATTTTTATACATATTTTTTTTCCTTGGCACTACAGCCCCAGTGGGCCTAGGCCTACCTCCGTGAACTTCTCCGTTCACTTCGGTTTTTCTAGATGTTACACGTCCGATAGGTCTCCTTGGGCTGGTGATCAGCTCGTCGCAAGGCCTCTACCTGTACACAAACACAGAAAAACGCACACACACAAACTAAACATCCATGCCATGAGTGGGATTCGAACCGACGATCCCGGTTTCCAAGCGAGCGAAGACAGTACATGCCTTAGACCGCTCGGCTAGCGTGACCGAATTTTATACGTAATACGAAGTTATATTTATGATTTTTCTCACAATGTTTCACATTCCTGTCTCTAATGGATCATTAGTTACTGTTAACAAACAGAAGATTAAAGAATTTATTCTCATGGTCATCATGTTGTTATTTTAAAATCTTAAAATAATAATGAAAAAACTAAAAAAATTACATGTTTATGGAAAGTTTATTGCGTCACATCATTTTATAATCTAAACTAAACGGGGACAATATCTCTCCTGCCTCAACTTCGAGTGTCTTAGGCAAATCGACAGATTCTCCCGTTTCGGTAGACCCAAGGAGAACAGAAGTTGTCTAGAGGGAAACAAGATCTTACTTGAAATTGCATTACTCTCTCTGCCGTTTCTCTACTCTCCTGAGAGCCGTCACGGGGCTGGGACCACATGGAGTCCAGAGTAATTCCCACACGACCTGGAAAACGTACAATACAATGTTTGAAATTTATCGCGTGTAAAATTTAACTAACTTCATGCATGAGAACTCTTCTTGATGACCTAATAGCAACGGAATTAATCGGGGAACTCTTCGACCTTCATGAAACCTGGTGATTCATTGCCACTTTCACAACTTCCCGCAAATCATTTCTGTATTGAACTTGATAAATACAATCCATTTCCTCCGAGTTACTAGAAAATTCTGAGGGGAATGACCAAAACGTTTGACATAGAAATTATTTCATGTAACTTTCTGGTAAAGTAAAGTAAAGCTATCCCTGTAACAGGCTGTGAAGGGCCATAAGGCTGTGAGATGTTGAGGTTCCTACATTTTCTGGACAATCGGCTCATAGATGGCGGTCAGGTTGTCAGCCTTACGCGCCGGCCGCCTTTTGTCCCCAGGAATATTCCTGGTACTCATTTCTGTTAGAGGCCGAGTCGACCCGAGTGCCATAGTGCGGCTGGAAGGATTAGGTCAATTGAAAAAATTCCACTTCATTGAGATTCGATCCCGCGACCTTCCGGCTTGTAGCATAGTGTATGTAAGTTTTTGGTATTCTTTGGTATTCTGTTCTTGGGAAGGGTGGTTACGCGTATTAAGGCACTGATAACTACTGTCAATAATACATGTAACAAGTGCCGATAATTTCGATCTTTACAAAAACTTGCTGTACGTGAAAGCATGTGACATCTTTTGGCGTTTATATGAACTACATAGTCAGGAACCATTTGAAGAGAATATTTTCTCTTCATTTGAAGTTCTTTCTGTAACCTGTGAAAGAGAACGCCGCGCCATAGTTCAAGCGGTTAGTTTCTGCCTTCCCACAGCGGCGGCCCAGGTTCGAGAACCGGTCTGGTCAAGTGGGATTTGTGGTGGACAAAGTGGGGCAGGTTTTCTCCGAGTACTTCGTTTCCCCCTGCCAGTCTTCATTCCATCAAATTCCCCATCATCATAATCACCCGGGGCAGGTACTATAGGCCAATCAGTGGCCGCCGTGACGAGTGGACTCTGCTGAAATCCACCCCCAATATGGGAATTAAAAAAAAATGAAGGGCAAATTTGGCATTCAAAATGGCGGCTTATCACTGTAACTATTTAAGTTGATATTTGTAGTGTTAAAAGGTAGGATTGTGGAAGTAAGTAGATAGTTTTAACGGATTATAGTCCCATTTCCATCTTTGCTCTGATATATTGCTACGTCAGTTGACATACCTCTCTGTTTCTTTCTAAAGACTTTGTCATACAGATGATAAACTCTAGCATGCGAGTGTAGCACGGTGTGCCCACACAGGTAATCTCCAATGCCGTGGGCGTCGATGCCAGGGGCAGATTGCCTCTGCTCACCATATCCAGAACAAAATGACAGGGGCTCATTGAACGTGAGCCACCATTTCACCTAAAACAATGCACATTAGGCAAATGTGAATTTTTACGTGCGAGAAACGAGCAGAAATAAATGATCGATTAATTGACTATTAAAAAAACTCCGTGGTTTTATTCCTCAAGCGAACAACACCGACCGAGCGACCGCCGCTTGTCGGCGAAGTTAGTGCCAACTTTAACGGATAGAGGGTGTCGCGTGGTCAGCGCAACGGATCACCACTGCCGTTAATTTCAGTTTTATAGTCCGGAGCCGCTACTTTTCCGTTCAAGTAGCTCCTCAATTATCCTCACGAAGCCGAGTGAACGCCGATCCAGACCCACTACTTCTCAGAAAATCTGGTTGCGCCGGGAATCGAACCCAAACCTATGGATTTGTAGCCAGGAACTCTGACCACTAGACCACAAAGGCGGTCTTAATTGAATATTAATTATTTTTAAATGTATTTAATGTTTACTTAACGACGCTGTCTGTAGCCCGAATTGCACGGCACCGAATGGTAAAATACACAAAGTTACTTACTCCCATACTCGGAGGATTTTATTTTCCAGGGAAGGCAGACAATTCTCCAAAAGGGCAGAAAGAAAACTTGCTCCCAAAATTACATTTAATCCGTTTTTGACTATTCTCACTGACTGACACAAATACTTTTAAATTTGTTATTAACATTTGGTTATTTTCTTATTTTAGTGAATTATGAATTTTTAAAAAATTCCTGGAGGGGGGGTCGGAAGTCAAATTTGCCCCTCCTGCCGGCTCCAATGCTTACTCTGTCTCCAAAATGAGTGAAAAGGACGCGTGCGTAGTCCTCGAAATAATTAGCGATTTCCAGATTGGGCCACCCGCCAATGTCTTGGAGTGGCTGGGGAAGATCCCAGTGGTACATAGTAACCTGGAACATAAATAATGAAAGAGCGTAAGATACGGAACACGGGGTATAAAGCCCAAGAATGTAGTGTTCTCGGGTATGACATCGTTACTTTCGCAATTGCAGGTGTCAGGATAGCTCAGTCGGTACGGGCTGGACTGCCTGGGTTCGATTCCCGGTATGACAAAATTTTTTTCTCTCCTTCACAGCGTCAAAACCGGCTCTGTGGTCCACCCACCCTCCTATCCAACGGGTACCGTGGCTCTTTCCTCGGGGATAAAGCGACCGGAGCGTGAAGTTGACCACTCACCTCCATCTAGTGTAGAGGTCAAGAATTGTGGACCTATACCTCCAATCCACCATACGTCTTCATGGCATAGCGATTAATTAATTAATTTTTAGTCCGAATACGAAGACATTGAAATGTGAAATTGAAGCCCAAGGGTTGTAGAAATAATGTATAAAAATTCAATTCACAGAAAACACAACGTCTCCACTGTACACATCTTACGTCAACTGGTCTACACGTTATGGAGGTGAAGAGAATGTGACCACGACATTAAAACAAGACTCGCTGTACTTCCCCTAGATTCTCTTCAGGCGCAACCCAGGAGCCACTTCGAAATACATAGCGTCCAAATTACGAAACACTTAATTAGAACAGGAGGGGTCACGGTAGCCGAGCAGTATAAGGCATAAACTGTTTTCGCTCGCTCGGAAGCAGGGATCGTTGGTTCGAATCCCACACAAGGCATCGCTGTTTGATATGTGTACGTATGTGTTTATGTCGTGTTTGCGTTGTAGACTCCTTGCGACTGGCTGAGCCCCTTTCAAAGGAGTCCTACCGTCTGTAAAATGATTAAAATAAAAGAAAACTCGACACCATAGCGTATAAGAGTGTAGGGTACTATAACAGGGTTTCGGTATGTACCAGACGAGAAGAAATTACCATTGGTTCTATGCCGTTAGCCAGTAGCTCGTTGATAAGATTGTTGTAGTAAGCGAGTCCTGGTTTGTTTACAGTATCAATACCTCCAGTTGGAAGGACACGTGACCATGATACTGAGAAGCGGTACACATTCACCTGTAACACGTCATCAAGATACATTTCAGTAAAATGTAAAAAAAAAAAAAAGAAAAAGAAGGAAAAGTATCCTTATAACAGGCCGTGGAGGCCCATAGGGTTGTGAGATGTTGAGGCTCCCACATTTTCTACACAGTCGACTAACAGACGGCGGTAAGGTTGTCAGTCTTACGCGCCAAGCTATCCCTGTAACAGGCCGTGGAGGCCCATAGGGTTGTGAGATGTTGAGGTTCCCACATTTTCTAGACAATCGGCTCATAGAGGGCGTGAGGTTGTCAGCCTTACGCGCCGGCCGCCCTTTACTCCCAAGAATATTCCTGGTACTCATTTCTGTTAGAGGCTGAGTCGACCCCAGGGCCATAGTGCGGCCGGAAGGGTTAGGTCAACTGAAAAATCCAATGATACTCGTCGGGAAATAAAACCCGCGACCTTCCGGCTTGTAGCACAGTGCTACAACTCCAACAAAAACATTCAGGACGGCCATTCACCGAACCAAAGATAAATAAAAAAAAACGTAACATCAGATATGCAGACTGAATATACATAAATATGTAAATTAAAATAAAACTCCCATACAACCCGTCACATATTACAGAGAAGGCAAAGACGTGCATGACAACATCCCTTTAACTCATATAAACCAGAAATAGTCTCCAAGGCCGTTACTTTCTAGACCGGAGCCGCTATTCAAATAGCTCCTCAGTTATCCTCACGAGGCTGAGTGGACCCCGTTCCAGATTCACGAATTCTCAGAAAATCTGGTAGCGTCGGGAACCGAACCCGGGACCTCTGGATTTGTAGCCAGGAACTCTGACCACTAGACCACAGAGGCGGTCTAGGCCGAAACATGTAGTGACAATAAAGAGAAGACTACCACTGAATACTAACCGAAGTTGCACACAGACGACAAAATGTGGAACGCAAATTCAGATTCAAAATACAACTACGAGTACATCGTCTTCAGTACAAAAAATTAATATTATTATGAACCTAGAGAACTGGGAGGGGGCCTAGAAAGTTTTCAGGGGTGTAGTGGAGCGCGAAATAGTTGCATGATTTATATTCCATCAAAGAGAGTAAGGGTTTCGAAAGAAACTGCTCTGAAAGAAAATATTTAAAAGACAATCTGATAGAACCCGAAACGTTCGCCTCCTTTAATATGAAAATTATTGACTTACCCCCAGTTCCTTGAGCGCCCTCACATCCTCCTTGTATAAATGGTACGAGTCTGCAGCGACATCTCCACTGAGGCCATCCGCTATCCAGTCCGGATGATCGTGTGTCAGTCTGTCCCAGATGTTTTCTCCTTTCCCTAGCAGCCACAAACAAACGTGATCGCATTTACATATTCTTCTCAAGCTGGCTGGCTCATTGTCCGTCTACAAACAAACTCCGTGGCTTGAGTCAGCAAGCGAACTGTACCGACCGAGTGACCGCCAATTGTCGGAGAAGTTAGTGTCAACTTCAGCGGATAGAGGGTGCCGCGTGGTCAGCGCAACGGATCCACACGGTCGTTAATCTCAGATTTCTAGACCGGAGCCGCTATTTCCTTGAAATAGCTCCTGAATTATCCTAACGAGGCTGAGTGGACCCCGTTCCAGACCCGCTACTTCTCAGAATCTGGTGGCTCCCGGAATCGAACACGGGACCTCTGGGTCTGTAGACAGGAACTCTGACCACTAGACCACAGAGGCGGTCCTTCCGCTAATGAATTAATTTTAATTAAATTTAGAACCGAGAAAGAGAATTACCAGTCCTCTCTTTTTGTCAGTATCACAATTAGCCTGTAGTAGCTGTCATTTTTAAAAATGAAAAATATTCACATTAAGAAATTGAAGCTGACTCATGTAATTAGAGACAGGATTAGGTATAGTAAACTATCTCTCCCTTCTCCCATGATTTTACTGCTCATCCGCTCGTTTTTTATTATAAGTTCTTACCTCTCAGTTACATTTCTGCTTTAAAATTTTGTCTTCTTTTGTGTGAACAAAACGTTCATCACTAGTGTACGGTTCTGCGATTTTGTGATTTAGCGAAATCCTAAAATAGTACATAAATGCACGTGATCCGTCATTTCAATAAGCGAAAAGTGCAGTTCTGCACGCTGTTGCAGGTCCCTATCAGGCTGTACGGTGACAGCAGGAACATAAATAGCGTTACAGCCTCACTACACCTACAGCAACCTATAAAATGTTCCTGTATAGTCACGAAAAGTGCAGGTCTACACACTGTTGCAGGTCCCTATCAGGCTGTACGGTGACAGCAGGAACCTAAATAGCTTTACAGCCTCTCTACACCTACAGTAATCTATAAAATGTTCCTGTATAGTCACGAAAAGTGCAGGTCTACACACTGTTGCAGGTCCCTATCAGGCTGTACGGTGACAGCAGGAACATAAATAGCGTTACAGCCTCACTACACCTACAGCAAGCTGTAAAATGTTCCTGTATAGTCACGAAAAGTGCAGGTCTACACACTGTTGCAGGTCCCTATCAGGCTGTACGGTGACAGCAGGAACATAAATAGCGTTACAGCCTCACTACACCTACAGCAAGCTGTAAAATGTTCCTGTATAGTCACGAAAAGTGCAGGTCTACACACTGTTGCAGGTCCCTATCAGGCTGTACGGTGACAGCAGGAACATAAATAGCGTTACAGCCTCACTACACCTACAGCAAGCTGTAAAATGTTCCTGTATAGTCACGAAAAGTGCAGGTCTACACACTGTTGCAGGTCCCTATCAGGCTGTACGGTGACAGCAGGAACATAAATAGCGTTACAGCCTCACTACACCTACAGCAAGCTGTAAAATGTTCCTGTACAGTCACGAAAAGTGCAGGTCTACACACTGTTACAGGTCCCTATCAGGCTGTACGGTGACAGCAGGAACATAAATAGCTTTACAGCCTCACTACACCTACAGTAAGCTGTAAAATATTCCTGTACAATTGTGAAAATGTTCCCTAAATGTTTCGCCAACTGCAGGTACATTTTCCGAAAACGCCTTCATTAAATTCGAGTAACTTAGTTGCTAGTAGCGTGTGTGCAACCTGTTTTTCAAATAAGTCTTGAAAAAATCTTAAGGCTGCGCCTTAGATTATTTCGCGATCTCCCGGGGGATCGCGACCCACTATTTATTATCTTACCGGTATAATATATGGATATGAAGTTAACTGCGTTTCTTACCGTCCACATTCCATGCACCCTCGATCTGATAAGCTGCAGTGGCGGCCCCAAACAGGAAGTCAGGCGGGAAGGAGTAATTATTCCCGCAGAGCACTGATTGCAGTGTCACAGAGAGAACAAGTAAAACTGCTGCCAACATTGCCAACTGCCACAGACTCACTGAATGCTGCAGTGACTGTTGCGGTGTGCCACGCCGTGTCAGTAAGGGCAGCGTTGCATAACGGAATGATTACAAGATTGCGCCCGCCATTACATAACATACACTACATAGAATCACCCAATAACCTTCCTATGAAGGGTACGTCCTTCTGACTCACTGCGCAGAGCGAGGTCAGGGGTTACTTTACAATGCTGTCAGTTTGTAGACTATAATAGCACCGAATTTTAGGAAGATAATTGAATAACTGCCGATCACAGTGGCCGCGCGGTGTAAGGCATGAACTGTCTTTGCTCGCTCCAACACTGGGATCATGGGTTCGAATCCCACTCAAGGCATGGATGTCTATGTGGGTTTATTCTGTTTTTGTTGTTCTATGTGTCGGTAGAGACCTTGCGACGGGCTGATCTCCGTTCTAAGGCATCCTACCGACTGTGTATAGGTTCAAGGAACCGAAAAGGAGGCCAAGGCCCAACACAGGGCTGTAAAGCCATAATAATTGAATAATTAGTTAGAAAGGGTCTGGAAAGAAGCGTTCTTGGTATAGTCGAAGTAATATCTCTGCATTTTCATGGCGGGACTGAATAAAACAATGATTCAGTCAGGATTGTCGGGTCAGCCGAGAACCTCTTGAATACGACTCACAACATTAGTGTTATGGCAATCTGAAGCCATGCACTTTGGTAGAAATTTATAGACGTTACGATGGGACGTATTGCCTGCATCTTCAGAGTTGAAGTGCTAGTAGAACAAGAAGCATCACTTAGTGCTTTAATTCTTACTAATCGTCAACCTGTTTTTAATTCCAACTAAACGGGACTGATTTCTATGTAAGGAACTAATTAACTGAAAGAAACCAAATCAGCACCAATCGAAGGTTCCCAAAGGCTGTTGACAGTGTTCTCAAGGTTTCGGTATCTGGCCCTATCCTGTTCCAGATTAATAAGGAAAACTCTCACTGCACCATATTTCTTTAAACCTCATTTTAATATTATCCTCCCCTCCCATCTACAGCTTAGTCTTGCAAGTGGTATATTTCTTTAAGATATTCTGACTAAAATTTTGTAAGCATTTGTCGTCTCCCCTGTTCTTGCTATTGTAGCTTCGCAAGGCAAGGCAAATTTGTCCCTGTGCTTAACTAATTAAGCACTACGTCATGAAGGCGTATGGGGGAGTGGATGTATAGAACCACATTTTCATTACCTCTGTAATAGTTGGAGGTGAGTCGTCAGCTTCACGCCCCGGCTACTTTACTCCTCTTGAATAGGAGGCTGGGTGGACCACAGAGCCGGTCTGGACGACGTGGAGAAGAGACAAATTTTGACGGTACCGGAATTCGAAATCCGACCCCTCGGTCGTGCAGCCGCTATCCCGGGCCCTATTTTAGCTTTGTGCCCGCAAGAAATGAGGGGTCCGGGATAGCGACTGGCTACGGGCTGGACGACCGAGGGGTCAGAGTTCGCGTCCCGGTAGGGTCAAGAATGTTTTCTTCTCCAAGTCGTGCAGATCGCCTCTGGGGTCCACCCAGCCTCCTATCCAATGGGTACCGAGGGCCCTTTCCCCGGGGGTAAAGCGGCCGGGGCGTGAAGCTGACTACTCACCTACAACTAGTGCCNGTCAAGAAAACGTGGGTCTATACATCCACTCCCCCACACGCCTTTATGACGTAGTGCTTAATCATTTAAGCACAGGGACAACTTTTCCTTACCTTACCGCAAGAAACAGACGATCAGCGAAAGCGAGGATGTACACGTAATCACAAGTAATGCGTTTGGAAAATGCCCATTTCTTCCTTTTCCACTCTTCCAGAAGAAAATTATGGATAAATCTTTCAACTATTTTAATGTTCACTGTAGTTTATTAAACAATTCTCTTAAGTATATCATACCTTATGTACAGCGTTCTTTTTTAATGCTAGTGGGGTGGGACTAAGTCCCTTGTACTGTGGCCACTTCTGGCCTATTGTACCAGCCCCAGATGATAGGTGAGGGTGATTGTGGAGCAATTGGTGGAATGCAGATTGGCAGGGGAAACCGAAGTACTCGGAGAAAACCTGCCTCAGGGCCATTTTGTCCACCACAAATCCCACTTGACCAGACCCGGGATCGAACCCGGACCGCCGCGGTGGGAAGCCAGCGACTAACCGCTTGAGCTATGGCGCGTACAGCGTTAAATGATTCGATGGCATTGAACAATGGATATGACAGGGTGTGCAATAAAGTGGTTCGGTTCCAGTTTAAGATTCTCTGCATGAACTGTCTTCACTCGCTCGGACGCTGAAATTCTGGGTTCGGATCTCACTCGAGTCATAGATGTCTGTGTTTGTGTTGTCCTGTGTGTAGGTAGCGGCCTTATGATGGGCTGATCCCCCGTCCAAGGATCCTATCGTCTTTGTAAAGAAGAAGATGCAAGGGCCCAATAAAGGGCTGTAGGGCCAGTATGAACTAATGAATGAACCCCATTGACTGGAGCGTTTGAGGGCAGCGGTGAAGTAACTTAAATCAGAATTTTGAGTGTCCAGCCAGATGACCCGTTTTCAATTTCGGGTGGAAAGAATGTTTTGTTTCTCTGTCAATAACTAGNCTAGATCATAAACCCCCCCCCCCCGAGTGATAGGATGACTGATGAATGATGATTTTGGAAGAATTTGGATGTGATGATTGTTGTCTGATAAAGATTCCATCCCGGGATTTCCATGGAGGACACGGAGGAAATCCACGAAGAACCTCGAACAGAATAGTCGATATTCCGAACAAGATTATAACCCAGGACCTTTTCCGGCTGTGAGTCAGAGTCATCGTGCTCGGTAACCTTTAAACAATGAATTTTACACAATCATATAATTATTTTTTACATGAAGGTTTTAACAGTCTTACAAATGAACATTCTGATATTTCACGAGTTCTACATCTGAACAGAAGAAGGAAGGATTCGCATACGCAGCAGTGGGTTATCTCAGTGGTCACAGTGAACTCTTGTTTACCAGGAACTCTGCCGGAATCTCATTGCTTCTGATTATCTCTGAAAAAACTCGGGCTGATTTCTTTGCCGTCCGTTTACGATTGGGGTCGTTGAAATCGACATGGTAAAGGCCAAAATTATCCCTGGAAAAGAAACAACTTCATGAGACAGTGAGAAATATATTTTATGAAATATGTATGTACGTATGTATGAATGTATTTATGTGTGTATGTGTGTGTGTGTGTGTATGTATGTATGTATAAGTCACCCAGATTCAGAACTGGGATATTTCGGTCTACACAGCGACGGGCTGGACGACCGGGATACGAATCCCGCCAGAGGCAACAGATCTTTGTCTGCTCTAAAGCGCCCACACTGGTTCTGGAGCCAACACAGCCTCCTATTGAGTGGGTACCGGGGTTCTTTACCCAGAGGTAAAGTGACCGGGGCGTGAAGCTGATCACTTTTATCTAGTGCCGAGGTCAAGAATTATAGAGTTACACCTCCAATCCCCGTACGTCTTCGTGGCCTGGTGTTAATTAATTAAGCACAGAGAAAATTTTACCTTTACAGATTCAGGTATCATGGCTTACCGTATCTCCATTAGTCGAAGATAATAATTGGAGAGTTACGCGTTAGTTATCCTCTGTTTTACATCATGTATACAATTAGAATGATGAGATGGGCTGGGCATGTGGCACGTATATGGAGAAGAGGAATGCAAATAGTGTTTTAGTGGGAAAGCCAGAACGAAAGAGACCACTAGGAAGCCCTAGACGCAGGAGAGAGGATAATATTAAAATGGATCTTAGAGATATAGGATGTGGTGTTATGGGCTGGATTTTTCTGGCTCAGGATAGGAACCAGTGGAGGGCTTTTGTGAACATGGTAATGGATCTCCGGGTTCCAGAAGATGTTGAGCGAATGGCGACTTCTCAAGAAGGGCTCAGCTCCAAGGAATTGGTTAGTTAGGTGGTTAATTAGTCATGTATACGTAGTGTATATGAGAAAGTACTGTGATGATGAAAAGAATCAGATCTGGAAAGTTTGGCTGATTTTTCTTATGTCGTCTGTGTATATGTATGTATTTACTTACTTACTTACTTACTTACTTACTTACTTACTTACTCATGGAGCTGTGCCCTTCTGGAGGAGCCGCCTCAGCTACTCAAGAATTTCCCAGCCTTTAATGGAACCCGAAGGTTCATCACCGCGTTCACAAGAGCACTCCACTGGTCCCTATCCTGAGCCAGATCTATCCAATCCATACCATCCCATTTTATCTCCTTGAGATCCATTTTAATAATGTCCACCCACCTACGCCTTGGTCGTCCCTGTGGTCTCTTTCCTTCTGGCTTTCCCATCAATATCCTATATGCATTCCTCTCCTCCCCCATTCGTCCTAGATGCCCTGCCCATCTCATTCTCCTTGACTTGATCATTCTAATTATACCTGGGAAGAGAACAAGTTATGAAGCTCCTCATTGTGCAGCTCTCTCCGGTCCAAATATTCTTCTCAACACCCTGTTCTCAAACACCCTCAGTCTGTATTCCTATGTATTTATGTATACATATTCCACCGCTCCTACTGCATAAATGGGCTCCGTCGGTTTCGATGGCTCGTTCGGTATTGCAAGCTGCTCGTTGGAGAGAAGGATAGCTCTTATTCCCAGAGCCATAAATGGGCGAGAGGTTGGAGCTCTATCGATGTAGGGCCCTTCAGACTGCCCAGTATGGGAAAAGTATTAGGCGCTAGTTTTGGACCAGGCGCAATTGACTTGGTCATACTTTGGAAACCCCTGAATTGGTTCCATGATCTTTTCCTCTGGTACACTCACATATAATACAAACTCAGATTAATGGGTTTAGGCACTCGGATGCGCTTCATTCACCTATCCGTCGGATTTAACTTTTTGTGTCGCCGTTACCTCTCAATTGCCCAGCTGAGAGAGCTATCCTCTCTACCCAAAAGGTGCACATTCCTTTTTCTTTCACAACATTACATCCAGGACAGTTTTGCCCTTCTTTGGGCTCCGTCATTTTGAAAGTCCCATAGCTGTTTGTACCCTAGATGTCCAGCCAGGCGTACCAACGTCTACATTTTGTTTCAGAATTTCCCTGGAAGCGATCGTATTTGGTGGCTTCGCGTGTTGGTCGACGGTTGTAAGGTCACTCGTGTAGGACGTGCAATGTGTACGCACATGTTTCTTTTTTGTTGGATATTAAGATCGAAGTGGGACACGTAGTGAACAAGTAAATTAATACTTACGTATACCCGGATATCCATTCGAAATTATCCATGAGACTCCACACCGTGTATCCAATCACATGACAATGGTCATCGTGTATGGCCTTCAATAATTCACGCAAATAATTCTGGAAATAATACAAGTGTTAATGTACCCTTCAGAGATATAATTTTGGATTGTTCATGAGAAGTGCATTCACAATTTAATTGAACACTTGCTCTCGGCAGAAAAATAGAGTGATCCACCGATATTAATTGAAAAAAACATATATTAAAATCTGCAGTTGAGGAAACTGCATACTAAATGAAAATTGCACTTTCCTTTCAGCGGTTGGGCCGAAAATTGCAGTTTGAAATCAGCGATTTGTAAATATAAATACCAATGGACGGATATTCTTCAAATATGAGCTTGGCAAAACTGAATACTAACATAAAATATTATCTTAAAATCCGCGGTTGGAAAAATTGGATACTAATAAAAACCAGCAGCTTCAACCCCGCTGCTGGTAAAACTGAACATTCATGGGAAAAGGCCGTGCCATAGCTCAAGAAGTAAGTTGTTGGCTTTCCTCCGTGGCGGCGCTGGTTCGATCCCGGGTCTGGTCAAGTGGGATTTGTGGTGGAAAAAGTGGTGCTGGGCCGGGTTTTCTCCGAGTACTTCGGTTTCCCTTGCCAATCTTCCTTCCACCAAATTCTCCATCATCATAATCATCCGGGGCAGGTACAATAGGCCAATCAGTGGCCGCCGTGCCGAGTGGACACAGCCGGACTCCACACCCCACCAAGCGAATTTAAAATTTTTAATGGACAAATGTATCTTAAAGTCTACGGTTGGTAAAACTGGATATTAACAGAAAACCACAGCTTCAAATCCGCTGTTAGTACAACTGAACACCAATGGACTTCAGAACTTACAATGAAGAAATCAATTCTAGCTGTGTCATTGAGCCCTCCATGATCAGAGAATCCATTTTCTGCTACCATAATTGGCGGACTGTCGTACTCTTTAGCTATCCAGTTAAGCGCCTTCCTGAGTCCCCATGGCACCACCTGCAAATATTATTTATAACAAGAAAGAACTAGGGCTTGATCTGTCAGAGATACCAGTTCTCACGGAGGTCAATATGAAGATGGCTATCGTCCATGATGTGACGTATGCGGTAGGGTAGATGAAAATCCTGAAATGGAAGCGACATCATCCTGTAAATATCAGATTACACCCTACCGCTTTACCCCTATGGAAAAGCCCCCGGTAACCTTTCGATAAATTGCTGGGTGGGCCCCAGAGCCGGTCTGGACGTCATGGAGAAATTCATGCCTCCACCGGGACTCGAACTCCGACCAATTCGTCGTCCAGCCTACAGCCAGTCGCCATACCGGCTCTTTTTAAGAATGACAACAGCACGTGGTGTTCCCAAGTGGTCACCCATCCCACGCCCATGTTGCTTAACTTCCGTGATCGGACAAGAACCGGTGTTTTCAACATGGCATGGCCGTTGGCTAATGATAATAATAATAATTCAATTCAATTCTTTATTATTTACGTGCGAGTCAACAGCCACAAGGCAAATTACAGACAGAGCACAGTATAGATACAAGCGATTACTTGATGGACAATCACAGCAGAAAGTCAAAGACAAATTACAGGCAAGCACTCGAGGAAAAACGCGTTAATGCAGACAAGTAAACAACAACAATAATAATATTAATATTANGAGCTAACTGAAACCTGTACTTTTATATATATATATTTTTTTTCTTCCCCTTTTTCAATGTTGGATGTTACGATTGGATGGAAATTATGGCAGATGGAGCCCCAGAGAAATGTTTTGCTTACCTGTAGCCAGAAAGAAGCGGCAACAGGATAGTTGTCATCTTGAGTCATACAAACGTCACAATCCGGGACGATAGACACGCCCTCCTTACCTTGGTACGTAAAGAAAGTGGTGTAGTGGTTCACAGCTAGGAAGTCCCATGCACCTGTATAATAGGATTTCTGTCATCTCCCGCTACAGACAGGGCATTCTGGGGAGAACTAATCAGCCTTTTTCCTCTAATACAGACTTCACGCGTCCAACTGCTGGAGGCCGTGTTTTCTCTGCGGTAATCTTGGAATTTGTTTAAAAAGAAAGGTAAAATTATCCCTGTAACAGACCGTGAAGCCCCATAAGGTTGTGAGGCGTCGAGGCTCCCACATTTTCTATAGACAGTCAGCTCACAGATGGCGGTGAGATTGTCAGCCTTACGCTCCGGCCGCACTTTATCTCCCAGGAATATTCCTGGTACTCAATTTTGTTAGAGACTGAATCGAACCCAGGGGCATAATGCGGCTGGAAAGATTAGTTCAATTGAAAAAAATCGACTTCATCAGGACTCGAACCCGCGACCTTTCTCGGGAGTTATATAAACAGGAAAACTTCCGGCTTTCAGGGATTAAGGGGGATACATTGATAGATACAGAGACATCAAAGTGATTTCATGTGATATTATCAACGGCCTTGTTTCAGTAAAGGTCACTTCTGATTAATGAATAAATTCTTATGTTTTCCAGGTATTTAATTAAATAATTGTATTTTCTCATTAAATTTATACTCAAAGAATTAGGCAGAAATTCACTAACGTCTCGCATAAATTTATTGTCCTCATTTTATTTGAGTAAAAGCAAATGACAAGGTGAGAAAAACGACTTATTCTTCGACCCTGAAGCAAGAAGCAGGAACTTCCTACAAAATATTTATCAACTTCTATCGGCTGACACGGCGTCACACCCAAGAAGCTAACACTATACACTGTCATCTGCGTGAGGATCTCGGATGCTGCATATTGGTACTTCGTTTCGGCAATAAAATTCGTCGATGTGAAGTCGAACTCACCTCTGACCATTTCCACTTCCTCTTTGGTAAAACTCGGTAGTCGAGACCTGAGATATCCTTTTTCCCTGCTCTTCTTTGCTACCCACTCCTTCATTACGGGAGGGTAATCCCCAGCAGTGCTGTATATTGGATGCAAGATCCAACCATTCTGAAACAAACATAGCAGTTTTTTATTCGCTTAGTGGGGGGTGGAGTCCAGCTGGGTCCACTCGATTGGGTTGGCAAGGGAAACCGAAATACTTGGAGAAAATCCGCCCCAGCGCCACTTTGTTCATCACAAATCCCACTTGACCAGATCCGGGATCGAACCCGGGCCGCCGCGGTGGGAAGCCAGCGACTAACCGCTTGAGCTATGACGCGGCCAACATCGCAGTTACTTGCTTCGCTGCTGACACCTGTCTTCTGTGGTCTACATCATGGTACAAAAAAAAAATCAACTCCGTGACCTGTAGTCCGCAAGCGAACTATACCGACCGAGCGACCGACGCTTGTCGGCGAGGTTAGTGCCAGCTTCAGCGGATAGATGGTGTCGCGTGGTCAACGCAATGGATCCCCAGGCAGTTAATCTCGGTTTACTAGACCGGAGCCGTTATTTCCTTGAAATAGCTCCTGAATTATCCTCACGAGGCTAAGTGGACCCCGTTCCAGACCCGCTACTTCTCAGAAAATCTGGTAGCGCCGGGAATTGAACCCGAGACTTCTGGATCTGTAGGCAGGAATTCTGACCACTAGACCACAGAGGCGGCCCACATGGAATCACACCTCAGAAACTTGTGATTTTCATAGTCGCTACCTGGAGCATCTCCAACATCAACAGCCCCAATTCGTGTTTTCCCTTCAGTATGAGCGACCATGTTTCACACTCACATGCATCTGCCGTGCTCTTTCAGCTGCCGCTTCTTCTTCTTCGGAGTAAGTCTTCGGTTCAATCCAGTTGCACAGTGCTACAATAGACATCTTGCCTGAAAAACAGCAACACAATTCGGAAGAGGTGAGAAGAGGGATAACATAGTCCTCAAAATTTGGTTGAGACACTATGCTACAAGCTGGAAGGTAGCGGGTTTGATTCACGATGTGATCATATGATTTTGCTCCTTCCAGCCGCGTTATGGCCCTGGGGTCGACTCCACCTCTAACAGAAATGAGTACCAGGAATCTTCCTGGGGGGTAAAGGGCGGCCGGATGGTGCATAAGGCTGACAATCTCACCGCCATCTGAAGCCGACTGTCTACAAAATGTGGGAACCTCGACGTCTCACAACCGTATGGGCCTCCACGTCCTGCCACAGGCCTGGCTTTAGCTTTTTACTTGTATAGAGTCCTACCAACCACAGTAGCTGGTTTTTGTTTAATTTTAAAACTTCCTTGGTTCTTCTGGCAAAGAGTCCTTGGATGAGTCCCTTTGTCTGTTTCAATACTGTTAAGGAGGCCCAGTGTTTCTTATTGTCTGTGTCCGTCCAATCCGTGACAGTTTCTGGGCAATTCCTGCTGACATATCGCATGCTGATTGAGGTCCCATAAGCGGATACTCGGATCCCAATTTTGTGCCAATTAATTTAGCTCCTAAATTCAGCTTTCTTCCTCCCAAATTTTATTGTATAACGGCAGGGTAAAAGGTAAAGTTGCCCTTGTACTTAACTAATTAAACACTATGCCATGAAGACGTATGGGGGAGTGGATGTATGGATCCACATTTTCTTCACCTCGGCACTAGTTCGAGGTAAATTGTTAGCTTCAAGCCCCGGTCGCTTTAACGCCGGGGAAAGAGCCCCAGTTCTCATTGGATAGGAGGTTTGGCGGACCCCAGATCCGATCTGGACGATTGGAAAAGGAAAATTTTTGACCCTCACTGGACTCGAAATCCAACCCCTCCAGCCCGTAGCCAGTCGCTATCCCGACTCGTATTTCATAACAGTAGTGAAGATGGCTAAAGAGAATGAAACACTTGCACGCATGCGCAGTACTCACCTTTCTGAGTTTCCTTGAATTCCCGCTCATAGAGTCGATATGCTCTGGCGTGCGACAGAAGAACTGTGTGCATCACAAGATATTCACCGTGTCCATGAGTCGGAATATTGGGTGCAAAACCTAGCGGCATACCGTATCCAAGGGCAATGGATTTGGGTTCGTTAAAAGTGTACCACCATTTTACCTACGAAGAGAGTAATCATATAAGTCAGATAAGGCTATGAGTTTTCTATGGACTCCAGTCATGAGTCGGACCGACTCGACAGGAGTGCTTGTGACTCCTTCGCCTGAGTGAGTGATCGCAAAAAAGGACACACCCTGTATATTGTTTCGTATTTTCTCAAATCAAGAACTGTGGAGGAAGAGAAACAGCCGTTGATAGGCAATACCCTCATGCAACAATAGAAGAGATGTCACGCGCACAGCCGTTGCTATGGAGCGACTGGGTAAGCGCGTTTCCCAGGAGATGAATTCACACAACAATAGAAAGGTGTGTTTTCTGTGTAGTCCGTGCCGAGGGATTATGAAAAGGACAAAGAAGATCGTATGAGTTAGTTGAGTTTCGAGACGAAAGCCTGCCAGGATATGAGCTTGGGAGTGGAGTAGTTGAATGGAGGGATTTAGGCGTCAGGTCAGTGCAGTTCATTAGACAACAAAATCTTACTTTACAGAACAATAATAGACCAATTTGGGTATATGGAGTGGAAATATGGGGATGTGCTAGCAAAATCAATATTTCCATAATCCAAAGATGTCAGTCAAAGATACTACGTATGATTACTAACGCCCCATGGTATATTTCCAATATAACACTCCATGAAGACCTGAAAGTACCACTAGTGAAGGAAGTTATAAAAGAGAAAAGCACAAGATACCTCAACAAAACAGAAGGACATGAGAACGTACTAATGCAACCGTTACTGGAACCGCACAATGGGCGAAGACTAAAAAGGAATTGGCCAGCCGGC